CTGGTGGGGCGCAGAGATGTGATAGGCGGGTCGCGAATGGACGCGATGAACGGGAGATTATTATTATTATTTTTTTTAATAAATGTTTTGGACCTCAGACCGGAATCGAACCTGGGTCCTCGCGGGCGGTAGTGGATTGTTACCGCCGGTGCCTTGCAACGGCAGGTGTTTATGGGCTCAGAACAGTCTCATAATACACACATGCACACAGAAGGATTCACACTTGTATTTCATGATCCGCAAAAGGATTCACACTTGTATTTCCGGATCCACACTTGTGTTTTTCAATGCACACACAAATGTGTTCCGTTTCATATACATGTAAATAAAATCCAAATACAGAAAAAAGTTTTACATATGTATTTTTGATCCTCACATATTTGTTTTCCGTTTAAAACCGCTGCACCTACAAACACAAACCGCTTTCTGTGCATGGATCGCTGTGCATTCGTGTGTGGGTTTTTTGAGACTCCCCTGACGGTCACCCGATTCGTACTGTCTCCTTCATTCTAAGCCAATCACATGAGCGCGCCCCCACGAGGATATGATTTCTTGCGTTCATGACGTAGCGCTTCATGTACGCATTTTGCGCTGTCCGGAGCTGACAGGTCCATGGAGCCTGCCTACAGGCGCTAATCTCAGGACACCTCCACTCTCAGTACATTGCCACTTTCCGAACAAGAAATGCACGCAAATACAAGCTTTCATATTATTAAGGTACAGCGCCACTTCCCGTGGGTGCTAGACAGTGAACTGTCAACGGGGGGAGCCTCGCTGCGGGGAAACGGTGGACCTCTGTCGCCTGTCAAAGCAACTTCAGATGGTCAGTCTGCCCCTGCCGGTACCGAGGTGGGCAGATCGGAGTGGCCCGACCGGCCCACTTCGGTACGTCCCGATGGCCAGTCCGCCACTGCTTCAGCATGCAGTATATGTGTTGCACGGCCAGATACGGCTCGAGAAGCTGACTCAGATGAATGAGGCGAGTAAACAGCTGACAGCCGGCAAGAAACTTGAGCGATCATTCGCATCGCGTCCGGTGTGAAGGCACCATTATTACAAGTATTATATAATTACAAAATAAAATCGCCACTCTCAGTACAGCGCCACTTTCCGAACAGGTAATGCACGCAAATAAAATATTTTATATTATTATTATTATTATTATTATTAATAATAATATATATATAAATAAAAACATCTTGTATTTTAGTTACACCCGCTATTGATTAATTTAGTCAACATTGGACCTTGACACCGTCCACATACAGTAGCTATAGTGAAATAATATAATCGAAAACATTAAAGGTAGGGTAGGTACATTTGAGAAACCGGCTCGAGATACACTTTTTGTTATATTCCATGGAATACTCTTAACAATCCCGATAGCAATGAATATCTTAAGTGCTTTGACAAAAAATCCATGTAAAAATGTCATCTGTGGAAGCCGTAGTACTGTAAAAAGCACGACCAATCATTTTAGCCGGCCCGGCTAAAATAACTGGATGGCCTACCTGCCTGTCAGCCTTCCATCTGTGCACAAACTTATCTCGTGCCCTCATTGGTCATGTGCGCGTTCGTGTGTGTTGGAGGAGGGGCTCTATAAGGAAGTGGCAGATATTCTCCGGTTGTGTATTTTCAAATTCTTGCACACTCGAGCTGGTTTCTCAAACTTACCTACCCTACCTTTAAGCCTCTTTGATTTAATAATCGGAGCTGAAACCTCTCTGCCATCTCATATAACACAGACTTCCTTATTTATCTTTGAATAATAATACCGTAAAAATAAAGACGACTATGCTACGGTCCTTCGGTCCTGAGATTAGCGCCTGCAGGCTCCATGGACCTGTCATCTCCGGACAGGGCAAAATGCGTATATGAAGTGCTACAGTACGTCATGAACGCAATAAATCATACCCTCATGTGATTGGCTTAGAATTGAGGAGACATCTGATTGGCTATAGATAGAACAAATTACAAGTACGAATCGGGTGACCGTCAGGGGAGTCTCAAAAAAGCCACACACGAATGCACAGCGATCCATGCACAGAAAGCGGTTTGTGTTTGTAGGTTCAGGGGATTTAAACGGAAAACAAATATGTGAGGATCAAAAATACATATGTAAAACTTTTTTCTGTATTTGGATTTTATTTACATGTATATGAAACGGAACACATTTGTGTGTGCATTGAAAAACACAAGTGTGGATCCGGAAATACAAGTGTGAATCCTTTTGCGGATCATGAAATACAAGTGTGAATCCTTCTGTGTGCACGAGCGAGACAGAGAGAGAGAGAGAGAGAGAGAGAGCACATCTTCTATTTAATATAGCCTAGTTGTAAAGTAAGAAATCATTCCAATGTGTACTATAGGACAGTAAAAAGTGATTAGTAAAATATGCATAAATAAAAAGAAAGAATGCTAACTAGGTAACATAAGATAAGAATAAACAAGTTTAAATGATTTGTTATTGGTTCAATTCAATTCAATTCAAGTTTATTTATATAGCCCAAAATCACAAATCCTATTTGTCTCAGAGGGCTTCACAAGTCAACAAACACAATTGGCAATGTAAAACAATGTAAAAACAATAAACGTAATTTAAAAAGGAACATAACACAATGACACAAATACAGTTAGAGTACAATAAATACAATTCCATAAAAGGAAGGGTCCATGAGGATGTTTATAAAAGGGGGTTTAAAACCAGTCTTAACTGTACGCTGTACTAAAGAGGAAAGTCTTTAACCTACTTTTAAATGTGTGGACACTGTCTGCCTCCCTAATCGTCACTGGAAGTTGGTTCCAGAGGAACGGGGCTTGGTAGCTGAAAGCTCTAGCACCTGACCTTTTTTTGTGGACTCTGGGAACCACCAACAGACCTGCACTCTGGGATCTTAATGCCCTAGAGGGGCAATAGCAGATTAAAAGATCCTGTAGGTAGGATGGTCCCTGACCATTGAGCGCTTTGTAAAAGTATTTTAAAATCAATCCTGGACTGAACTGGTAGCCAGTGCAATGCTGCTAAAACAGGAGTGATGTGGTCCATCTTCTTTGTTCCTGTTAAAACCCGTGCTGCAGCATTTTGTATGAATTGAAGGGTCTTTAATGATGAGTTTGGACAGCCTGATAAAAGGGAATTGCAATAATCCAGCCTGGAGGTGATAAAAGCATGGATTAGTGTTTCTGCATTGTTGTGATTTAGGATGTGCCTGATTTTTGCAATATTCCGTAGATGGAAGTAGGCAGTCCTTGAAATGTGCTTTATATGGGATTTAAAAGACAAATCCTCGTCAAAAATAACACCAAGATTTTTGACCGTGGTGCTGGAGGTCATGGTAATACAATTCGAAGAAATGATGTTGTTGGACAGTTTGTTCCGAAGGTGCTGGGGGCCTAGTATAATGACTTCTGTTTTGTCAGAGTTTAATAATAGAAAGTTGCAGGTCATCCATGTCTTTATGTCTGTGAGGCATTTTTGCAGTTTAACTAATAGAAATTGTACATCTTTGTGATCATATTCTAAAGATGTTTGGATTATTGAAAAGTATACAGCTCCCTTTCATCTGAGTGTTGAGAGCTGTATCCATACATTCATTTTGTGCTCAAAGTGCACCAGATTGATGCATTTCACTTCAACATTTAAAAAAACATCTTTCCTGGAGTGCATGCCCCCGGACCCCCCTAGAGGAGGTGAGGACCACCCCCAAATAAAGCAGGTTAGAATAATTTAATTGCATACATTTTCTTTTAGTAAACACTGCAAACGGGTCCCACAGACCCAAACAGCACACAAAGGTTAAAGGTGAGCATATAATAATGTTAAAATGTGCTAAATATATACACTGCAAAAAACAAAAAAAAGAGGAGTAAAAGTAGCTCACGACTTGTTTTATTATTTGAAAGTAGCTCTCATCCTAAAAAAGGTTGGAGACCCCTGTTATAGAACGATACATTTGACAATTGTAAGCTTGGCCTACCATTTTATTGGAGCGATGAGGAACAGGTGGGGCTTGAAAAGGCCCACCTGTTCAAAGTGGGGAATGACAGAGAAAATTGGGAACCACTGGTCTAACCTCAGATGGTCAAAGCCAGCATTGTACATTTGCCTAAACCAAACCCTAGAACGTTTGAATGCGGCACTGTAAGTTTAGCCACAATGGCACTTTTTTCGTTCAGTTAGCCCAACATGTGAGTTTGCCTAAGCCTAACCTCAGAACGCTTAAGGCTTAAAGCCAAATTTGTCAGATGGCCATCATGGCACTTAGCGTTTTTTCACATCCTTCCCAGTCAACAGTACCGGAGTTTCAAGAAGAAGGTCCAGGAATTGTCAGTTCGAACAATTGTGTCTATCCGAATTGTCCCGAACAAATATGGCCGTCAACCTGCAAAATCCTCAATTGTCCCTCAAAAATCTGGTTCCGGCCTCGATGTAACTATCAAATCGGAATTTTAAGGTTAAAATTAGCTTGAGTTTTGATTAGGGTTAGGGGGTTTTAGGCTTAGGGTTACCTACCCTACAAGGGTTAGGGTTAGGGTTTATTACCCTACAATCACTTTACTTAATTCATTAAATACCTTAGAATCATCCACTAACCAAATTGACTTTGGTTACTACAAATCACCAAAGAAGGAACAAACTCTCCTTTTTTGGTCACATCTCATCCAATAAAATGAAAATGTTGCCAAGAATGAAAAACCAGGACCCCTGTTAACAAACGTTCTGATGGCTAGATACAATATGTTGTATATAAACAGAGCACACATCGATAAAAGTGCTTTAGTGTAATACAACGCTTAAGAAAAGCAATGTAATATCATTTGGTCAGCAAACCAAAGTCGACCCATCACTGGGTCAAACAACAAGAAAATCATATAGTGTTGAGAGAAAATGTGTATTTTGAGAACTGCTCATAGAGTTTAGAATTATGTTGCCACTATGTGAAGTAAAATTAGCGTAAAGAACAAGGACAAGAACAATAGAGTCATGTGGTTTGGATTACCTCAGAAGGGTCCTTGTGTGTTTGAGGGGAAGAAGGCCGGGTAGAGGATGAGAGAGGCGTCTGTGCAACATTTTTCCCCTGCTTCTCAGAAAGCGACCTGGACCATCCAGCAGAGCTATCTACAGGGCAAAGGAAGAATATTTAGCCCAAAATATGTTCCAAATCTTCTTAAAACAACAACGCAGCAGGAGGACCGCAAAGCTAAGACTTAAGGCAACACATCTGTTTAAATGATACCCATTTCCATTACACTTTAGAGTAGTGTCATTTAAATTGTTTATCGCCTTGGGTGTGCACATTTGATGATTTGTCGTAAGGGTGGGAGTAGATAAAAGCAATTTTGTTCAAGTTCCAAAGGTTGACCTTGTGGAGAGCAGGAATTATACATCAACCATACACCATCTCACTAAGGGACACCGAGTAAGTGCATTACACAAATCATTGTTGTATGTGGCAGAAGTGTCTTCAGTTAAACAAAGGCTAAATCAAGGTTGTTGTTTTTGGACAGAAATCATGGCTCAATTTCAACAGCCTCCTTACAAGGTCACCATAAGATTCTGAGTATGATTAAAAGAAACATGTCAAAGCAGCACATGTAAAACTTGTCCATGCATTTATCTTCAGAAGACTTGATTACTGGACCACTGGACCAGTGTCCTTTACAGGTCTCACTTAGAAATCAGGCTGCTGCCGCTGATTCAGAGCACTGCCGCCCGAGACCTACGTTTCTGGTCTGTTTTCTGTTCTGCTTTGCTGTTCAGTTTTTATGCTCCATAATTCTGAAACATACTCCCGGAAAACTGCGAACTTGTGCCAATTAACCATCAAAGCTGAATACTTTTCTGTTTGCTGCTTTTCTTTTCAAATCAAATAATGATTCATACCTTGTAAAGCACAGACACTTTTGTTCTTTTAGTGTTTCTATGTCTTACAGTGTATTATAGTTTTTTGGTACAATAGTAGCACTATCGAGATAAAATAGGATTTTTTTAGAGACAAAATCTGTCCACTGACAGATGGACATGATTTAGACAGCCGGCAAAGGATTCGAAACCCCCTCTGTGTCACTTTCTGGGTCAGAGGTCTAGGGCCACATCCTGCCATGCTGACAAACACCATCTTTGTGACGGCTGGTAAAAACATGTGATGTATAAATCTCACTGTCTTGTGTCACTTTTAAAAACTATTCAAATGGAATTTAATTAGCATTTTCTGTATCAGATAATGTCATAAAAAACAACTTTAAGCACCCTTAAATGGCATTTAAAAAGTGCAGTCTTCCAAAGACTTATCCTTAAACTGGTGGCAAAAATGTCATGATATTCTATAAAGGCCCTAACTAAATCTCATCATGCAATGCCTTGTTTTATTAAGTATTCTTATTATCTTGATTCTGCCTGCACTGCATTTTAATACGCACATAAAGTAAACTGAGCTGGTAGATTTGTTAACAAAATGCAATGATACTTTTGAGGTACCTATGGTGACAGATGGAGACTGACAAAGGCCTCCTTTTGATTCTTTTTGAAGTTGTCCTGCTAACTAAGCTAACGTTTTAATCTCATATTGTTGGCTTTCTTAGCCAGGTCTCGCTTGGAAAATTGATTTTCTTCTTTCTCAAAGGATAAATGATCACTTTGTGATGGACAGCAAAGGAGATAAGCTATGGCGCATTTCCACTACACGGCCTCGCTCGGCCTTGCTCGGTATGGCTAGGCCTCGTTAGGACTGGCTCACATTATGGCGCATTTCCATTACAGTTTAGGAACTGGGGTAGTATCTATAGTAACGCAGTGTAGGCGGAGCCGTGACGTCATCTTCAATGAGAACCCCAGAAAAACAACACAGCCGTTAGCTGTTAGCACTCAGAGCTCACAGCTCCTCATATCCGTTCAGAAACTAGACAAAAGTTAAACAAGTACAAACCACAGACTGCCTGTGTCATGGCGAATACAGTCGCTGCTTTATTTATGTCTGTATAGGCCGTTGTTGTGAGTGTGGACGGTCGGAGCATATACTGCGTTAGCTTAGCCAATCTCCATTTAGAAAACACGCATTTTAAAAGGTTTTTCCCCTGCTGTCTGTCTGCAGACTTGTCAAAGCATTAATTCATGGTTTTTACTAACCGGTATCAGTATGTTGTTACTTCGGCATCATTTTGAAACGTGTATTACAATTAAATCACGGTCAAATATGTCCATCTTGTTGTAGTTGTAGCCCCCTTGCCAGCGATTCTCTCTCTAGTTTAGCATACTCAGCCCGACTCAGCCTCGTTGTCTCTGGCCCTAGACCCACGATTTTATGAGGCCAGAAAAACTGTGAATTAGGACCCGCCGGCCGGTACTAGGCCAAGTGGAAACGCAACCAAAGACGGGCCGCTGACGTCACAGCCCTCTTAAACCGTGCTCCGCGCTGTAGTGGAAACGCGCCACTAGAGGCAGTAAGGTATGCTCGGTTCTGCATTTACAGTAATGGGTTGGAATGAGGTCCCATGTTAATACCAAATAAAGATGGTGACAAAAAGTTTCATCCTTTCCTCCACTGGTTATTCAAATGTTACCAGTCATCAGTAAACTCACCCACGTGTTCCCGGCCCTGGCTCTGGATGTGGCTCTCATTAAAGTTGCGGGTCGGGCTCTCAGACCTGAGGCCCCCCGGCTCCACCTGGCTCACAGTGGAGCGCTGACTCCAGGACCTGACTCTGTCCGAGGCCGCTGCCTGATTCAAACCCGCTGAACTGTTGCTGGGACTCGGCATGTGGTTCTGGTTCTGGTTCTGGTTCTGGTTGAGGGCCTGGACCACATTGTGCTGCAGCATACTGAGGCACTCCCCCAGGCAGCTCAGAGTGGCAGCTGAAGTGGCCTTAAAAAGGAGAAGGTCCTTGTCCAATGGAAGGAGGAGAGAGATAAAAAGGACGGTGAGAAGGGGAAACATTCACATTTTAGTTTCAGATTTGTCTTGGTTTATCATCTATGAGTGTGAGGGTTCTACAGTACTGCAATACTACGTGGTGTTTGTCCACCGCTTTATAGTCAAAACTGCACCACCAATTGAATCAGAGATACAGGATCCCAGGATTGAATGGTAAATGGATTGCACTTATATTGAGCTTTATCAGGTCTTTTCGACCCCCTCGTCGCTTCATAGCTTTACATACTACGAGTCGTTCACCCATTCACACCTCATTCATGCAGAGCAGTACCACTTGCTCTCCCAGTGTTTCTCAAACTCTTTCATACCAAGGACCACTTAACCAATATAAAAATACTCGCGGACCACCTAACTCCCCAAATATCCAGAAACAATAGGCCTGCTTACCACTCCAACAGTATAACAAAGTACAGCCTAATAACTACAGCTTAACCTTCTCTATATCGCCTCGTTCACACATTAAATCAACAATACAAATACAACTATAGATTATATAAGCATTTAGTTCAAATGAGATTTAAAACGCTCTCAGGTTTTACACCTCTTATGAAATGTAGACTACATTTATTACGGGTTTATGTCCGAGCCAACAGACTCACAGATCGCTGGCTACTGAGAGAAATGCAAAATACACCGCATGTAGTACGACACAAACCTCTGCTGTGGATTTTCAAAACAAAATACAGTAAAACTTTGGTCGCAGGCCCAAGTTTAACTCTCTGAGGTCTAAGCCCTTTTTTCACATGTTAGGCTCGCCTGGGCTTTTTTTGTAAAAATGCTATTAAAACATGATCCTTGGTGACCATCGGGCTGGTCTGCATGGTCTGCCTACACAACAACAATAAAAAAACGTTTATGCAGCCCCAACAACAGCCTCTGATCATCAACAGACTTCATGCAATGCTTCATCGGATGCATATATTAGATAATAATCTCTCTCTCACTCCTAACACATCTAAATCTACTTTCAGCATGGATACATGTTCATAAAATACATCCATTGTTTGTTCTATATGCTTCTTGAAATCCTAAAAAACACAGTTTTTCTAGAACAGATTACAAATCGCCAGAAAATGGTACAAACAAGTGGCAACATGTGTGACGAAGGTGTTGTGCTGGGCTATATCATGCAATCGAAACTTAAGCTCGCTCCATTGCGGAGATATTCCCGCAAGAGTGCGGACCTCGGGGTCAACGAGGGTATGAGAAAATTAGATTTTAAATGTACCGCATCAAACAATAACCTTGTCTTGAAAACGCTGTTCTGTCTTCAATTCAAAAAGGCAGAGCACAATACCACGAGCAGACTTTAAAGAGTTATTGGTTTAATATAATTGGATTATGCATTATGCTTTTCATTGGTTACTTATCTAATTACCTCATCCAGGGAAGCGAGGGGTCCACCTCGGGGGGGTAGGGACTCTATAGAGTTGACCAGGATCTTCTGCTGCCCTTCAGCCTGGATCATCACCTTCACACAGACACAAAGAACACTTTCATAATCAAGGAAGCAAAAGCATCATGTAACCAACTTGGGGAAGCAATGATTTGTCACCTCTTCTTCCTCAAAGCAGTAATATTGAGAGTTGATGCTGTGATTGACACTGCATGATTCTGGTTAGACTCTCAGTCAACATAAACAGTAACCGCCTCTCCAGAGTTTGTATGAGACAATAAGCCCTGGTTCTGCAGAGATTGAGATTAAAGTCCAGGAGGAATTTGAGATGTGATAGAAGTGGGAAGAGGGAGCACCACAGTATGAAGAAAGAAAGGAAAATGTGGTTCTTTCTCTGACCGCAGGAGGTAATACTTTCTGACATGGCTGCTGCAGAGCAGAGGCAATGAGGCGTCACAGAGTGTTTAATCATGTTTGATAATGAGTCGTGTTTAATGAGTGTGTGAGATGAGCTGAGATCAATGTCTGTCACATGCGCACTCATACTTTTGAGTTCAACAGCAACTAAAGCTTTTTCTTTATCCCCCGTCAGGACATTTGCCTGCCTCTAATCTCCAGTCTTAGGGGCTCAGTCAAACAAATTCTACATACTAGTATTACATGCTGTGTATATGAAACCACTGCAATCAGTGCAGCAACAAAGAAACCCACTGCAGATTGTATGTTGTATTAAGTTTAATTGAAAAAAACAAGATTTCTTGTTACTTATATATACTTGTTTACCTGAAATGATTTGAGTATGTTTTAATGCTCACATGTTTTTATGAGTCCAAATGTGTGGTGGGTGCCAATGTATATTATAATGTATGCCCCCCTGTGACTGAGAGGAACCATGTAGTGTGAAATTGGTCGGGTTAGTTTGGGACTGTCTCCAGCCCTTAAGAAAAGCAGCGTTGGATTGTCAGTCTGTCCGTTATTCCAATACCTCGGTCCAGGGCAAGTTATAGACAACATCTGCATAGATTCTCAAGTAATATTCTATGAATGTTTATGGTTCTTGGAAGGTGATTATTCGAATTGTGGGTCCCCCGTTTTCTTTTATCTACCAAAACCATCAGGTTAAAAGGCCCTCTTGATGGTTGTCAATGCTCCCCCAAGGTTAAGATACATGACTGATCATCCACTTGAAATACAATTCAGTGTGAGGTGTGCCATGAGCTCTGGGAGAACATCAACTCTCCCAAGCCAGATCAGAACAGACTTTACACTTTCAGCAAGATTGACAATCAGGCTTTCGGAGTAATGGATTACAGGTAACAGGATTACATAATCAGGATACAAAACAAAAAAATGTGTTGGCAGATTACTGGAACATAGAGATGACTAGGATTACACTCTGACAATAGATTTAAAATAAAGAACGATATATTATATGTAGACGTACTGCCTGAATTTTCTTTTTGGTTTTCATTTAGGCTACTTGAATTCTTCTTCATTTGAAATATATATATTATACATATATATATATATATATGGACACATGATTTATTACATAAAAATACTGTATTTGCTTTATTAATTAATTCACTTTACTATTCTGGAGGCCTAACACATTTTTATATCTTGATTTCTTCTTTTCTAAAGTCACATTGTTCTGTTCTTAAATAATACACTTAAAAGTCACCTATTATGCAAAATCCACTTTTTCATGTCTTTTATAGATAAATATGTGTCCCCTCTGTGTTCAGGAAAAAAGATTCCCTCTCTTTTGGTCCCGATCCATCTACATGAAAACCTGTCTGAAAATGAGCTGATCCGATTTTGGCCATTTTGTGATGTCATCATGTTTTTTTGGGTTGTGTAACCATTAGCCAATCACCAACCAAGGTAAAATGTAAGTAATCAAGTTACATTACTTCTATATTGTGATTCTTAAATTAGGTTAATAAATTACAATGTTTTAAAGGTTACTATTAATTGTAACAGAATACATTTTTAAAGTAACACTCCCAACCATGTATATGCTGGCCAAGGTGCAGATATATATAAAGAGATCTAATTATGTCTTTTTTATCGCATTCCTTGTCACTCTCTCAGACACTCTCACACATACAAACAGGCAGCGCTCAGATCGTGCTGCACTCACACGCCGCGCTCTCAGGGGAGAGTGAGTCATCAGCGCTGGGTTATGAAAAAGCAAGAGGAAAGCTATTACAAGACACAATGCTGTCACAGCTCAAATCAAGTATGCATGCAGACTTCAGAAACAATTAGCTGAAACTCTTTTCATTCATATGCACCTTATGTGCACTTTATGTGTAGAATTACAATGTTCCTTATAACCTTTGAGGATACACAGGAGGATAATAGTGTGTAGTTGATAACTAACATTACTGGGTGTGTTGTTCATTGATGTTAAGACTCTACTGTACTCGTAATTGTTACAAATACATTTTTGGATTGATCTCAAAAGTAAACACGATAGACCAATGAACCAGGAGACATGGACATGCATTGAGGCTGTGACTCAAATCTGAAATAAATTACATTTTACCCTTTTTATGTTTTAGGATTTGTGATAGCTGATCATTTCTTAAATGCTTAAAAATGTCAACCATTTGACCTTCATTACAAGGTTCAAGGTTCAAGGTTCTTTATTGTCAATCTGACATAGTTACAGAGTAATTATGTAGTTGAAAATCTTATGTCACAGGCTTCTCCAACAATGCAACATAATAACATAATAACAATAAGAGCATGAGCAATACAAAAATAATAATAGTTATAAAATGAAATAAAGTTATGATGTGGAATAGTGCAATAGAGTCTATATACAAGTTATTGGAATGATATATATATATTAGGTATTAGATAAATACTACTGAGTAGCAGTTGAATGTTTGATGTTGTTTCAACAGTTCAATTTTTTAACAGTCTCACTGCCCGCGGGAAGAAACTGTCTCCGAATCTTCTTGTCCTTGCCAGGATGCTGCGGTAACGTCTGCCAGACGGCAACAGAAAGAACAGTTTGTGGCTGGGGTGATGGGGGTCTTTGATAATCCGTAGTGATTTCTTCCTGAGCCGCTGGGAGTAAAAGGTCCTCCATGGATGGCAGCTCCGTCCTGGTGATGTGCTGTGCAGTTTTCACCACCCTCTGTAAAGCCTTACGATTGAGGTCGGTGCAGCTGCCGTACCAGGCCGTCATGCTGCCAGTGAGGATACTCTCTATCGTGCACCTGTAGAAGTTGCAGAGTATCCTGGAATCCATTTTGAACCTCCTCAACCTGCGGAGGAAGAAGAGCCGCTGTCGAGCTTTCTTGGTGATGGTGGTGGTGTGAAGAGACCATGTCAGGTCCTCAGTGATGTGGACCCCAAGGAACCTGAAGCTTTTGACTCTCTCCACCGTAGTCCCATTGATGGCGATGGGGGCGTGTCCCTCTCCCTGCTGCTTCCTGTAGTCCACAATCAGCTCCTTTGTTTTGCTGATGTTGAGATGGAGGTTGTTATCCTGGCACCAAGATGTCAGGTTTTCGACCTCCTCTCTGTACGCCGTCTCGTCGTCGTCTGTGATCTGGCCGATGACGGTCGTGTCATCAGCAAACTTCACGATGGTGTTGGAGCTGTGTGTGGCCACGCAGTCGTGGGTGAACAGGGAGTAGAGGAGAGGGCTGAGCACGCAGCCTTGAGGGGCACCGGTGTTGAGAATCAGGGTGGAGGATGTGATGTTTCCCACCCGCACTGCCTGGGGTCTGCCCGTCAGGAAGTTCAGGATCCAGTCACAGAGGGCGCTGTTGAGCCCGAGGTCTCTGAGCTTGATGGCCAGCTTGGAGGGCACAATGGTGTTGAATGCTGAACTGTAGTCAATGAACAGCATTCTCACATATGTGTTCCTGTTCTTCGGGTCCAGGTGTGAGAGGGCAGTGTGGAGGGTGAGGGCTATGGCGTCGTCTGTGGACCTGTTTGCTCTGTAGGCAAACTGCAGGGGGTCCAGAGAGTCAGGGAGGGAGGAGGTGATGAATGATTTGACTAACCGCTCAAAGCACTTCATTATGATGGAGGTGAGTGCTACTGGGCGGTAGTCGTTGGGGCAGGTGATGATTGTCTTTTTGGGGACAGGAACGATGGTGGAGTGTTTAAGACATGTGGGGACTACAGACTGCAGCAGGGACCTGTTGAAGATGTCTGTGAACACCTCTGCCAGCTGAACTGCACACACCCTGAGAACACGGCCAGGGATGCCATCAGGTCCAGGAGCCTTGTGTGGGTTAACCCTTTTAAAGGATTTACACACATCTGCCCTATTTAAAACAAAAGGGCAGTGTAGCTCCTGGTCCATCTGTACCTCCACAGCCCGGCTGCTCTCAAAGCATGCAAAAAAACTGTTCAGCTCATCTGGGAGAGATGCGCATGCAGACACTCCCGCAGCACCCCCCGCTGCTCCTTTGTAGTCAGTCATTGTCCTTAGTCCCGCCCACATATTCCTAGTGTTACAGCCTTTGAAGACAGATTCCACCTTTTCTTTGTACTGTCTCTTTACAATACATGTATTACTGTATGTGTAGTCTATAAAGGGAATACAGTATATGCAAATGCGTACATCATTTGAGTTAAAGCCAGTTACAATTACTACGCTGCTTTAAAGAGTTGACATTTTGTCTGTGGCGGATCACGGTCCCAAGGCCCGGGATGATACTTTTTTTAATCTACACTCTCTCCATTTTGGGATCATGCCACACTGAGCAACTATCATAGGAATGAATGGGGCCCTGTCTACAATGCTGTATCCAGTTCCCGTTACACATCCATGGTTAATGCTTTGCTCTCAGCCATGGGAGGCAGGAAGGGACTAATACTGATGTGGAACACTTTGATCCATTTCAATTAAGATGTTTAGAGCCATTATAGTGTTTTTGTTTTGGTGTGACACTTTGTTCCCTTTACTCTGCCTTTGCTTAGCCAACAAACCACGCCTGGCCTTACCTACAGTACTGTATCACACACAGGTATAATATCCAGCCTCTCTGGATATCTGCCTCTTTATTATAGGAGCAATTTTCTTTATGCTGGGAGTTTGTATCCGCACATAAAACAAATGTATCATGTGTGCTTCAAAGGCCTGTTTTTCCCCTCAATTTGTTGTCTCCATCAAAGCAAATCACTCTCTAACAGGAGAGGAAAATGAGACAATCACTTCCTGTCTCTCTTCCACTCTGCAACCTGGAGGAACCAAGGTAAATGTATTGCTTTATGATTATATAAAATGAAAATGCTGATGTGATACATAATCACAACAGCGGGAAAAGGAGATGCAATAGAACATCTTCGAAAGTGTATTAGATGTTTGTGGAAACATAAAAACACCCATGCAGACGTTTCTCTAACAAGTGATCCCAGACCTAAACTAGGCTGAGAAAGGTTGGGACAAAGATAGTCATAAGAGTTGGTTCCGAAAGCATTGAACCAAATAAAAGTTAGGAGGACTTGTTGACATCTTCTAAGCACCACCTGTAAAAATCTAACAAAAACAACGCATACACCTTTTTTACTTTTGGATTTAACAAAAGCAGAAACACTATTGTGGGATTATTTGGAAATGTCATCCCTTTTGTCTCTACGCTGAAATAAAGGCACTCTCTCTCCCAAATAATATCTTTAGAAAAACAAAACAAAAACAGGAGTTGAATATGTCATGGCCTCTTTATGACACACTCCATCATCTTCAGTAAATGACTCATCTAAGGCTCAGCAGACAGTGTTCAGCCAGAAGTCAGGCAAATCGATTCCTTAACTCGAGCTCATATGTAAGCAAGTGCAACACTTTTATATTAGCAGTCCTTCTATCATCCCAACCTGATGAAAACCAACATTTAGTCATGCAATCATCACGCTGCACTCTCACCTCCATCAGAATAAGAAATCAGAATTCCTTTATTCATCCCGCATCCGGGGAAAGGTACAGTGTTATAGCAAAAGTGGCATGGCAGGTTAAAAAGGCATGCAATAATAAACAGTAAGCTAACTTGTTAAATAAAGACAAGAAAAACACACATTAGTAATAGAATAAAACATAAAGACAGATAAGTACACCTCCATGGATAAAAGTGTAGCAGCAATTAAATCAACTAAGTGACATGAGTAACATATTACGGTGTTGAGAAATGTATGAAAAATTATGTAATACAAAATGTATGTTTTAAAAAAAAAAGTGTCTGTATTGCACATTGCAGATTTCCATCACTTTTGACCTAATTTTAGCAGTCAACTACACCAACAATCAACACCACAGAATTGATTGAATTGGTTAACTGTTTATGTGATTTAAACTAGTGATCGTTCGGGTCGAGTAATCCAGGAGGTTTTTTGTGAAGCGAATATCGAGGCTTGTATCGTGTTAGGCCAGGAAAGTCATTGATGCCTCGCTGCCCGTCGATACCATGTGACTGGTTCAGATTGGTTCAATCCACTGATGCTTAACAGTTCTACAACAAGTCACTATAACAAAGATCACACTGTTGAGATGTCATATCTGCCTGTTTCACACTCTTTGAGGGTTTGTGTTAAGCAAATTAAGCCTTGAGGAATAAGTATGTTACAAACCAATTGGCTGGAAAGCTTGAACGCTTCACAAAAGCTTCATCTGACATGTTTTAGCAGAGTTAACTTTGTCTTTGAGGTACCCTGGCCATTGGGGGAGGTTCCTTCCTGGTTCAGCAAAAGGTTTGGCTGAGGGTTGAGGACTGCTAAATACTGAAGCAGCCATTTGGGCCGAACCATGGGATTTCATGTCAAGGGGGGGAATCAGTCTTTTTTGTATGGTCTTTTCAACTGGTTTGGTATAAGGTTTGGCCAAGCTACTATATATCTTCAATTTTTTTTCTGTTGGCCTCTTTTAAAGGCACTAGTTAGTACGTTTCTTCTACCGACCAACCCGTCTACAGCGACAAAGACATGTAGGGCCATTGCCAAAGACAGAGCCAGAAGGAGAACATAGAATTCATTTTTTTCCATTAGTCACCATGGGGAAATAAATGTCTGTTTTTAAAAAACTATGTTGAGAGGTGAGGGGGTCCCCTGTGCGTCATAATACATAATAACCCTCTGTGTGCAGCCATAAAAAAGGAATGAGGTTACATGGTTGATGCACGCTATCCTTGCCAGTGTACGGCAACAAACATTGGTTGGTTAAAGTGTAGCTATTTTATAAAAGTATACAGTTTCAAAAACTGTTCCAAAAGTGGATGAAAGAACCTGGTTTAAAGGTGACCTATTATGCATTTGTCATGTCTTTTATACATAAACATGTGTCCTCTCTGTGTAAAGAGACTCTGAAAGTTTCAGAAAAAAAGATTCTCTCTCTTTTTGTCCTGATCCATTTATATAAAACCTGTCTGAAAATGAGCTGATCAGATTTTGGCCACTTTATGATGTCATAACGATTTTTTTGGCTTCTGTAACCATAAGCCAATCAGCAACCAAGGTAACCCCCCCCCCCCCCAACTTATCACCTGAATCTCCTCCTAGAGCACCTTTGTGTTCTTTTTAACCAAATCTCTCTCAGAGGGGTGTGGGGAGGGGCTCCTTATTTTTCATCTAAAGTAACAGACAGAGAATCAGCACTTTTGAAACAGGGCTGAAACAGAGGGGATTATGGGATGCTGCAATGATCCGTTTGGTATTTGGAGCCAAACACTTCAGAGACATGTTTTGTATATATCTGAGACCTATATATATTGATGAAAAAGGGATGCTCCAAATCTAACGCAAACACGCCCTCAAGAGGCATGGAACATTTTATTGGTCAACAATACACCTGGCATTCTATTGGTTGGTGAATTTTGGCAGGGTTATTTCTCATCAATTTGTCCCAATCACTGGAGGGCAGGATATCTGTGCAAGAAACATTTCTGAGTGCAATCATGTAGTTTGAACAGAAGCATAGAATCTACCAGCAGGGGGCTTCTTGAAGAAACATGCTCTTGAATAAAGATAGGAATAAAACCTATATGTAGAGTGGTGCAGTAATGAGTCCTAAAACCCCCAAAGACTAATCATTAACCACTTCTGGTTCCCTTGTCTTGAATGATATGGTATTTTGAACGTGTTTGCGGATAGAAGGCTGAAATAAGGTGTGTGGTCAACACACGCTTTCACATTGCTTCTACAAGATAAAATACGTCAGTAAATACTCCACTTGTGAATGCCCGAAGCATCTATGTGTTGGTGCACACGACGCGAGTAGAATAGTGGTGGTGATGCGCAACTATTCTGTGATGTAGTTCGTTTATAGCCTATCATTAGCTTTTTACTTCTGCCCATTGCATTTATGCTTAAAAACGTACAAAGCGGTGTTTTTAAGTGGAGATTATGCGTTACGTATCATAAACTAGTGTTGGCCACAAAGCTTATTTTCTGCTATGTACTGAAATCCGGGGAAATCAAATTGCTTTTCGACGAGGGACCCTTTGTGATGCTAACTTCCGGTTTGGCCTACAAAATATGTCAACACTACATCAGTCTATAGGGAAGCAAAGAAGAGGACCCATATGGAGAGGCTCAGTATCAGGTTCAGCAATAAGGCGCTCACTTTGTGTGTGTGTGTGTGTGTGTGTGTGTGTGTGTGTGTGTGTGTGTGTGTGTGTGTGTGTGTGTGTGTGTGTGTGTGTGTGTGTGTGTGTGTGTGTGTGTGTGTGTGTGTGTGTGTGTGTGTACCTTGGCGCTGCTGTCAGAGTGGCGTCGGGAACACAGCTGGAGCTGAGTCATCCATAGCTCTTGGTCCTTGGCGTCCAGTGCTATCAGGAACAGAACACAGAGGCACAGAATCAATGTGAGTGTTTCCTGCTGTCTGTCCCTGGGCCGGGAAATCAGCTACATCGAAAGCTATGTTTTTTTAGAGTTGTGCTCTAATTCAAACTTTTCTAATTGTCCACACATTTCTTGAAAACACCCAACACATCTAGGAATTGATCCTACTAACAAGTATTGTGTGTAAATCCAAAAGCGATAAACCTATACAGTATATATATATATTTATCTGGGCTTTCTCTGGGCTGCTTCTTGGAAACTATCATGGACTGAACAAATTCTCTTCACAGAAGATTCCCTGCTCAAACAAATTGCTACTTGTACTCTTGTATATCTTAATTAGTGTAATAACATAAGCTCTGCTACTGTATATAAATATTGCTCTGCCTCCATTACAACTCTGGCACTACCAACTGTTTGTAATAAGGCCTCTCTGATGGAACAGATTGTAACAATGTGTTTGATAGGAAATGTAATATTGCATTATTAAAGTTCCTGGTACATTGTCCCTGCATCAGAAACCAGACAACAAAGAACAAATAGTGGTCTGGACTGGTTTATCTTTGTTTTGCTGCTGATGAGATGAAAGCTTTGGAGGCTACACAGAGGAGGGACAAAAATATCTGATCTGGATTTAACACAGCCTCGTCAAAAAGCCATCAGTGTGACAAAGAGAGGGAGGAAGAGACAGAGATGGACAGGCGAGGAAGCGTGTGAACAGGAAATCACAGCTGTCACATATGGAGATTAGCAATTCACACAACTCTGACAGTCACTCAGGAATACTTCGGCCCTGGAGCACTTGGTGCCAACAACACATTTCAAGGACTGTCTTCTTTCATCTACGTAACTTTGCAAAAAACTCTGGCATAACCTCCCTCCAAACGATGCATAAAAACAAGTCCATGTATTTGTTACTTTAAAATTGATTATTGTACTTCATAATTATCAGACTCTACCAAAGAGACTCTTAAGACACTTAAGTTGATTCAAAATGTGGCGTCACGCGTATTGACAAGAATGAGGAAACATATCATATTACTCCTGTACTGGCTGCGCTGCAGTAAAATTCTCCTTCTTGCCTACAAGGCCTTTAATGGTCAGGCACCATCTTATTTTAAAGAGCTCAGGGAAAACTTGACCTTTTGGAAAGGTAGGCAAATGCCGTAGGCCACAAAAAGCTATAGACTTATTAGGATTTAGATATGAAAAACATTGATTTAAGTTACTATTCTTACTCATTGTTCCCCAAAATAACAGATCCAATGATACTCAAACACAAACCAAAAATAGTTTAATTTTGAACTGCCAGAGAAATGTAACAGGTGATTGTCTCCCAACAGAGCGCTGGACGTCAATGTTAGCATGATGCATTATTATTCATTTAACTATGCAACATTGTGTTAGAATTGAAAGCCCCACCTTAAACAGTTGTTAAAGGGCCCATGTCATGGCCATTTCCACTGATCATAATTACATTGTTGAGGTATACTAAAATAGATTTATACTGTGCAATTTTCCAAACTCACATTGGTTTCGCATACAGCATCTCTGTCAAGCATGTGTATTCAGCAGTATTCACTTTCTCCACTAAACGACTCGTTGGAGCTCTTGCCCCCCCTCCCTGTGAGCCTAGTGTGCTCCGATTGGTCAGCTCGGCCACTCGTTCTGATTAGTCAACCACCAGAGAGGCTGCGCCCATGTCTAACAGTGCTTTTCCCGGCTGCTCTCAGCGTAACATCAGTCTTATCATGGCGTCGGCACAGCCGTATATTTTATATACATATATATTTTTAACTGTTGTTATAGAAGAGTGTGACGGCCCCAGGGCCTTTGTCTTACGATGGGGTGGAGCTGAAGAGGCTAATCAGCACGATCACGGACACCTCCGGACACTACGGCCCCAGTCTCTCTCCAAAGCGGCTGCAGGAAGACTAACTCTGCGATCCTCTCAACCACCTATCTCTGCATTTACCACAATAAATGTGCCGTGGTTTTGTAAACTCGTGTATGTCTCCTTGTCTTTGTGGCCTACGAGCCGCTCATAACAAAGAGTAAGTTATTTTTACCCGTTATAAACTACTACTGTTTGATGAGAAATTAAATCATGGTTTGCTATATATGAATTCAGGGAAGAAAGGATAGGCCTACTAAGTATTTCCATTAAACTTTATTTTTAGAAATGTACAAAATGAACATAAATATACATATATACACGGTATATCATCCATTCCTCCTCCTTGCATCTTGCCTGCGCACAGTCGGTGCGGTGCCTTTTAGCACGACGCCTCAGTAGTAGTAGAAGTGCCTTTTAGCACGTCATGGATTGTCCGCCAGGATCTGGCTGGACGAAATCAAATGCAAATCACAAAATATTAGAGAAACTTAGTTGTTTTAGATTCGTTAGTAGTAGTTGTGTAATGAACAGCTTGCCTGCTAATATGCTAACCTAGCTTTGTTTACCTTGGTAGCTAACACGATATGAACGTTAGCTTGGAGGAAAGGCAACTATAATGCAGTGTAATAAAACTACTATGAACAAAAGCTAGTGGTTCATATTAGGCTAGCAATAACGTGTTTATAATTGCAATCGTATACGGGTATTCTGCTACCATACAATGTAACTTGCATGAATACATTGTTTTGCGCTAGCATACAGCTAGCCTCGTTAGCTACATGCAGTATATGTACGCAGGGTTGCCAACTCTCACGCATCTGGCGTGTGACACACGCTTTCACTCTCAATCTCACGCTCTCACGCTGCCCAAACTATTCTCACGCCAAAAACAAGAATACGAAGACTAGAAACGGTTTTGAAAACTTTTGTCACGTAGTGATCGTCTTCTCAATAGAACATCTTTGATAATGTCTTCTGGCCAATCAGAATCACGATAACGGCGTGGTGTTGTTGCAGGAAGTCCCGACGGAGAATACTTTTGTGGTAGTACATCTCTATACATCGATACAACATTACGTGTTGATAGAAATCAACACGTAATGAAATAAGACCCCACGGTTTGATGATTGATAGGTGTGTGGGCTGTCTTTCATTTTGACACACAGAACAATGGGGGCTATCCACCCATATCCACAATGTAAAGTAATTCACACAGCCTCTTCCCTCTTCTCTCTGTGAGGAGCAGCAGGTTCAGCTTTCAGAACAAAGTAACAAAAAAATAATATGGCATTCATTTTTTTAAATTTGTAGTAATAGATTTATTTATTTTTCTTCTCAAGAGAGTACCAGAATGTTTATTTTATGTTAGGATTTTAAAAAATCTCCTGGGGGAGAATCCCCCCAGACCCCCCTGCAGGGGTTGGGTTTTCAGCATGTCAACTCTTTCACCTGTTGCAGGATTGGCTCCAGGTCGCCCTTTTTATTTACTACAAGACAAATGTGCCTTTTTATTTCATACAGTTCAATTTGGATTGAGACAGGGAAATAATCTAAACCTCACGCATGGCGTTTCACTGTCGGGGGGAGCGTGTATGTAATTACATTGCAAATACTGATTTAAGCCCCACCACTGTATGGGTTAGCCCTACCATAGATTACCCAACAAAAATACTCTGGAGCGCATGCGCAGATCTAAGATCCAGTAGAAATGATAAAAAAGTAAAAGTCTGCTGCTTATTGTTCTACTAGGCCAACATAGAGTCAAAGAGTACAGTATATGAGAGTGAGAGTGTGTTAATTAATATATTTGGCAGTTTGGAGTAAGTCTGTAGATTTGTTTGTGTGTGTGTGTGTTTCATGTATAGGCCTCTCACGATAATTCATTTTGTTGGATACATTTTCCCGGAAATTATTGCGATAAACGATAATATTGTCGGCACCGTTGTATGACCATTTTAGACCACTGACATAATGATAATATATAATAATAATTCAAGTACATCCTTTCAAACTGATAAGTCAATTAATTGCTTATCGCGACAGGCACACAATACAACAGTGGAAACAAACATGTTTGACTTTCATTAGTGAATGAAACTGTGTGCCCTTTATAGTCTGTGTCCATTATTGTGTATTTGTATATATTGTATATATATCCTATATATATGCTAAGGTCCCGCTGCTGACACGATAGCAGTCATGTCGTGCGCATATGTTTAATTAAACCGAATTAAACCCATGATATCACAATCTCACTCCAGCCAGGTACCCAAAGTTGGCAACCCTGTGTACGGTCACAATGTACGGTAAATCACAGTACAGTATACTGTATGAGTATTCCGTGTGTGTGAATGCAGACATTCTCCTGCTATGAGATACATGTATGCAAGGCCATCTGCTGATATTAGAGTTGATATATGGAAACTCTAGCAACTTAGTTAGCACAGTTAGCACTGTGTCAATGGCTTAGCAGTCCAACACAGTTTACACATTTAAACAGTCTTGTTTGATAAATACACAAATAACAATGCAAACTTACAGGTTGTATACCCAGATCTTCCCCTGCTCCAAACGGTCGAAACAAGCTGTGCATATCCGGCCTCAAACTGGGCAATGTTTTGGAAGCTTTCGTCTGTGAAATGCCGGTTCTTCGAACCTCTGGAGGAGGAACACGCCGCTGCTGGTGTAGCCATAGCTCTTCGGGATTGGTCCATTTCGTTCCGGGTACCGCATGACATCAGGCGGTACCCGGAACTAAATGGAAGACTCAAATGGGCAGTGACGTATCTCCAACAAGGCGTTTTGGGGAGGTATTTTCTGTGTTAGAGTTTTACTCGCTACAGGGTGTACTTTGAGGGTTTTGACTCTGCACACCGTTTACATGCATAAAAACCTTCATAACACACAAGGGGACGGGTAATAACCGGAAAAGCATGACATGGGAGCTTTAAGTTAAATCAGGTACATTGTGCTGATAATGCTTTATTTCAATCTCCACTTGAAGCACTATTTAGTATGACTTTTACTTAGTGGCATAAATAGTTCACTACTATTTTACTTTAATACGCAGCTTAGTTGAATGCTCAATTCTGATTTCAGAAGTATTTAAAAGCAGAAATAATTTGGTAAATTCAACGCCAGCTGTGGATGACAAACATTAGTTTTCTCCATCAGAAAACCGTATAGAATACATTTTAAATATTCATTTTGATATTTGTGGAAAACATCAAACTTTGGATATGTTGCCGTGGCCGCAGTTCGGACGTTGGTAGGCAATGCAACGGAAAACATCTTTCTAAGAGGGAGCAATATGATCACTTCGCGTCAGGATCCAAATCACCATGTCAGTGTTCTTTTTTATTAATGACCACCTCGTTGCACATTATCCCTTACAGAAATCTCCTTAGAACAAATATATCTTTCTTCCATTACTGCCAACACCAATATTCCCAGCTAGATAGAGTATGAAATTAAAGCAAGACTCCAGGAAAGTCGAGTAGAGTCCGGTTGTAAGGTTAGTTATTAACCCCCCCTCGCTGCATAAAGCGTAAATTACACAGTGCACTTCATGGTCCCCAGCCAAACACCTGCCAACAGATCGGATGAGTGGTTGTTGAGATATGCAGAGGACATACATACTCCCATACTGACAGTCACGGGTTCCTTTATGATTAATGAAATCATTTCCACAGTATTCACAGTCATACAGTGTCTGTTCTTCTGTGTTTGGATGTCATTCTCTTACCTCTGAGTTTGTAGGAATCCCCAGTAGTGGACTGAATGGTAAACATGTATGGAAACTCATCAGCTGAGACCACCACGGCTCCTAAGAGAGGCATAGACCCTCTGGGCGGTCGCTGGCTCTTACTCAGTTCATTCAGATGATATTGGAGCTGACCAACCTCTGGATCCAGAACAAAATATCTGCAGGAGAGAGAAGTGAGAGAGAGATGAAGAGAGTTTTAAAAGAAGAAACAAGAGATGGAGAGCGGTGGGACAGAGAGAGAAGGGCTGGTTTGGGTGTTGGGGTTGGAGTCTCAGCTATTAAATCTACAAATATTTCACTAATTTCAACGTGAAACAAATGTGGCTATTTAGGCTAACCGCTTTGGCTAGAAAGAGCTTTCGTTTTTGGTTGTTCTTAATAATTTGCCATTGGCTTAAAAAGCATGCGTTTGCCTTAGGTTACCAGTTCATTCATCACTTTATCTGCAAGGTTATGCTTGTTAAATGAGTTGTTTGAAAGAAAAATCTTGTTGGGTCCTACGGCATCAAGCATAGTTGACATCTACTTAGGTTAACGTATCTAGCTGAACCCAGGGAGGGACTGGGACTGAAGAATGTCCCGGAACTTCGACCCAGCCCAGCTCACAACAACTACGGCTAAATTGTGGCTGGATTCAAATGTTATGTTACCACTCTCAATGATCGCTCTTTAGCCAGAATTGGCCCAGCAGGATAGTTAGTAAACCACTCTGCACTGATATAAGAATGAATGTAGGTGATTCAGTATCTGCTGCTCACAGCTGATTTATAATATAAAAAAGCTCCTTCACTTCATGAAATCCCTGCAGCATGTAAAAGCAGAAAGAATGATGAAGCCTCTGAGATGTGCCACGCCAGCACGCAGAGCCGTGCGCACAGCCGGCCACAGATAACTTCATTAGATCTGCTGAAAGAAAGCTGCTGCTATATAACCACACCCAACTCGACACAGCCAGATGCCCCGGTTATAACTTCACATTCTGCAAATAGTGTTTTTCCTTTTCCAAAATACTGTTTTTTCCTTGGAAACATTGCGTTGTACCGATGCGCTCCGGCAGCTCTAACCATGTCTTAACAAAGTGCTCAAAAGTCACTATTTCTTAAGTGATGGTAGAAATCAAATACCTTTTGTTGTTGACCTAAGTGACTACAGATGAGGTCCAAGAATAGCAAGCCACATGAATGGGAGCAAATTATTTCTTAATGCTCTTAATGTTTTTTCATAATGGCTTGTTTTATGTTTACTTGATTCTCTTAATGACTGTTTTTAAATGCCGTTTTATAATGTGTTACCACTGCACTATTTCTTAATGATCTTAAAGTTTTTCATTTTTGTAAAGTACTTTGAATTGCCTTGTGTTGAAAGGTGCTACTGTATATAAATAAACTTGCCTTGCCTTGAAAATGCAGCAGCAGTGCTTTAGCCTAATCTGATATTAGGGTATCAGCAAATATATCTTTACTTGGCAATCATGATATTTAAAGGAACAAACACATAATTATACATTTATGCCGCGGTCAGTCGTACTTGACTAACAGCCCTACTGTGATTCTCCAGAACACACAGATGGCCAGAGCGCCCCTGGCTGAACCTCATTGTGTCATTCACCCCCTTTTTGGCCTCTGTTTGTTCTCAGGCATGACAAACCATAACTTACATTTTAACCATTTTCCAATAAAGTAGCCTACCAATAAACTGAGCAACATCAAACATTCTTCAAATCAGAACCAAGTTTATTAACAAGTATGTTTATACTGTACAGACAAACACATGGCCTGCACAGCATAAGGAGTCCCACATGGGGATGGAGGTGGGAGGGGCTACGTTCTTCCTGAGGTCTTTTACAATCTCTACAGAGTGTTTAACTCGAACTTAGTATTTCTTTCACAAGATCACCAAATGGTGAATCTCCCACCTGTGGACAGGCTGACCCTCACCAGAGGTCCAATTAGTTCAGTAAGGTAAGCAATTCTAAAACATTGGTGATCTCTTAACTTTCCATTTATTGGTCTGAGACTGTAAATGGTAGGATTTTACAAAGTGCGTTTAGAGTCTTCCAGCCTCCAGTGCTTTCACACCGCATGTTAATTCTTACACTGACGGCAGCTGCCATACAAGGTGCGAAACTGCTCAACATCTAATCCAATTTTATCTCGTTCACACACTCTCAAACACCAATACTTTGGCACCTTTGGGGAGGGAAAAGATGCAAGAAAAGACACCTGGTATGCTATTACTTGTACAGACTTAAAGGTCACCTATTATGCAAAATCCACTTTTTCATGTCTTTTATACATAAACATGTGAAAAAATATTTGCTCACTTTTTATCCTGATCGATTTATATAAAAACCTGTCTGAAAATGAGCTGATCAGATTTGGGCCACTTTATGATGTCATAATGTTTTTTTGGCTTGTGTAACCATTAGCCAATCACCAACCAAGGTAACCGAATAATGATTTTTTTGTAATATCAATTCTATATTATACAACTATGGATATTAAAAATACGCAATAACCAATTATTTTGAAAGAATATGTCGGCTAATTGATATAGTTATGCTAATTTTCAGGTTCAAATGTGTGTTTTGGGCATGTTATGCGACATGTTTACATGCTTTAATTATCAGAAATGTCTTTATTTTTCTTTTGGTCAACCAATAGAAGCGTGAGTGATACATGGTGATGTCACTTTGTTTGGGAAATAAACAAAGGAGTCCAACGGAGCCGTTTTAGGCAGGGGGGGAGGGAGTGTGTGGGAGAGAAACTCCCTCTGGAGGGAACTTTGGGATTTTAGCCTTTGCAGACCATTTACATGCACAAAAACAGGAAAGGTTAAAACCTAAAAAACATAGCAGGTGCCCTTTAAATTCAGAGACACCGTGAGGGAGTGAGACACAAATTATTGTAACATCCTCTGCAGCGTGGTGGGGAGAAACAACATAAAAGCACATCCATTGAGAGTCAGTGTCATGCTCTGGTTGTATTATTTTATCTCTCCCCTTTGAACGTCCTTCTTACACTGACTCTGTTTTCCTCTATTTCCCACTTTCACCCTCTCAAACACACACACTATCATAACTGCTGTTAGAGCAGTATTGCTCAGTCAGCATTCTCCTCCAGTTATGAGCGTGAGGACAAATCTTATTCCATCTCTCACTGGAGCTCATATTCAAGCAACTGAGCGCTGAGTGATTTTACCCTTGAGTCTTTAATATGGTCATAAAGCAGTATCTCTCAGCACTGATAAGAACCACTGATGGAGGGAACAGCAGAAGCAGGAAGAAAGAAAGAAAGAGAAAGGGTGCTACAGGGAAAGAGAACAAAGTTTACTAGAAGACAAGGAAACCAAGCAATGAGAAGAAAGAGAACGCTATGAATAATTTAAATCTGTTTTCACACAGCAATCTGTTTCCTCTGCTCCACTGCTGTCGTGTGATTGTGTGGAATGCAGTGGATCCAACTCAGACCTCCTTTCTTTTACACATGTAAATGATGAGCAAGCCATAAAGCAGTGTAGATCAATCACCTCCTGTCTACTTCCTGTTTGTGTAGCAGTTAGAGGGTGAGGCGTGCTACGTTAAACTGTCCGGCTTCAGATGCAACTGGGAACATGGCAGAGCATAAAACATGTTAAGAATGCTGACACTTGCATGGAGAATGCCCCTGAGTCCTCAAAATAAACAACAAAATTAAGAATGCACTTCAGAATGTCACATAGAATCCTTTTTCAGCCGACCGCCTATGGCAAGTAAAAAAAATCACTGCGACATCTGTTTTATAATGAGACAACACAATGGTAAAGATGTGGTTTAGAGAAAGATCACGGTACAAACCGTTAATGGACCCAGAACAGGTAGGAACCCACAACCCAAAGAGACACATAAGGGTCAAAATACAATAAGGCTTATTCCAAAAATAGGCAGCAGTCCAAACCCAGAGAGCCAAACAAATGTCATACTGAATGAGATTCCAGGTATGCATCTGACCAGTCTACCTTGGCCTGCTTTGTCACACAATGAAAAGTGATAGAAAGGTCATCACAAAAGGTTGAAATTGCGGACAGTAACAAACTATAACACATATTACATTATTTCAATCAATTTCTTTCTCTGGATAATGTATAGAGTGGTGAAGAGTCCCAAAACCAGGAAAAGATCTAGCAATTTTCCCGAAGTTAAAGTTTGTGGTTAGAAGCCCGAAATAAGGACTGTGGTTAACACAAGCTTAGCAAGCTGATAGCCCTATGATGAAATCAACGTAGTTCTGAAGTGTAACAACATCATTTATAGCTGGCTACACACCAACCCGATTTTGGGAGTCGGAGGCCGTCAGAGGCAGTCGGGCATTCGCGGCGCCCTACTCAGGTTGGTGTGTCCCGCACCGTCGTCTCTTTACGGCACCTTTTCACACCTCCCGCGGGAGGTCAGAGAAAGTCGGCCCAAGCAATCACTCTGATTGGCTGTTCACACTACCGCTGCCTGCTTGTAAGGACAGTTATTGCCACTCGTCGACTGAAGTATTTGCGGTGTGTTCGTAGGCGGGCGGCGTAGGCGGGCGGCGTAGCAGGCGGCGTAGCCAACGCAGGCGACGTTGCTGACGTAAAAGTCGGGACGCCTTCGGTACGCGTTCTTTGGTCTCAGATGGGTGTGTAGCGGCCTTAACTCAAGGAAAGAGACAGAAGAAAGCAGGTCCAGAGACCAAAAATTGTTATCAAATGTCCACTGCTTTGGTCAAATGAATGACGCCTTATGGATTTTCCTATGCCCTTTTCCTTGACCCTCAATGGAAAAAATCCTGTGGCCAAGGAACGATTTGTGGCTATGTAATTATGAGATGGCGGATGTTATTGATGTGGGTGTGCCATTGCTCTAAATGTTACTGACACAAGAAATTGTGGGTCAGCATTATCTAATTTCCTTTTGTAAATTATGGTCCAGTGCTTAAGAAGATAAGAAAGAAAGCATGGAGCATTGAGATTGAAAAAAAGTTTAGGTATAAAATGGCTGATAACCTTTTGAACGGCTTTGAGTTCTAAGAGATTGATATGACATGATGAAGTCAATGTTCAAAGTCAATGAGCCTCCTAAGGTTACACTGACTCTGCCTTACCGTCACTCCCCTCCCCACAACTGAGACTGCCTTACTTTAGGGTTTACAAAAACCGTGGCATTCCTTGGGCTGCTGCTGACTAGGAAAGGGTTGGTGGATGTATTCCCAGGTGCGTCAAGACTTGTCTTCATTTCCAGTTAGTCAATAAACTGACTGATGGTCAGGGAAACTCTGAGGAAAGGCGCTTCCTTGATCTTGATCAGGGGCCACAAAAACAGTTATTGGCTGGTGCTAAATCCTGAGCTGTAGGAAAATAACAAAAAGGTTAGCCATCATCCTGTCTTTCTTTGGGAGATTGCCAGCTGAGCCAGAAAGAGGATGTCAGGAAGGGCCGGACCAAGGGTTTCTTCCACTTTAGCAGGAATTCCATAGTCCTACAACCAACCATCATGAAGTATAGTTAGGGATGTAGGCAACAGCTGTTTTCACCTTTGAAGAGAGTTGAGGAATAAGCCAAATTCAAAACCTGATACACCTGTCAACTTGGTAGGATGGGGCAGAAGGCTTGTCATGAGAAACTTGTGGTGTAATCCTTTATGATTAAATAGTCGTCGTCCTCAAAGTGGTGAAGCGAAAAACTAAATTGGCAGGATATGGCATCAGTATAATGACATCAGACTAGCCATTAAAGGAAGGAAGTGAGGTCATTTGATGGACAAGAAAGCAGTTCTTATCCACGTTGTCTTCTGCAATCCAAGGAGGGTGAAATAGGAGCTGAATTAAAGGCTTGGGCAGTGAGTGTATTGATCTCTCTCCAACCCTGACACCTCACTCATCTGTCAGCAAGGTGTCCAGCCAACCTTTAGATCATGTAGCTCTCGCTATCTCTTAAATCTATCAGAGGATCGGAGCGGCTACTAAAAGGTTGGAGAGAGGAGAAAGAGAGAACAGTTCATTTAGATCAGGGGTCGGCAACCCCTGGAACGTGTGCCACCACTGGTACGCGGGACCGTAACCGTAGGAATAAGTGTGCAAAATATTTAAATTGTATTTTCGGATCCTGAACGAGACGGATCCAGAGCGCGTCTCCCCCTGCAGAAGGAAGCCATGCACGCAACGCAGCGCAGAGGATAACTTCTAGGCCCGCTCTCTTTAACTCCAGTCTACTTTCTGCTGCTTTCCTCCATGGTGAAACGACCAGGGGTGTAGCGCACTTCACACATTGCAGTACCCATAAGGAGCTGTACATGCCGCAGTTTTTGCGTGGCTGTGTCTTTAGTTGAAAGCCCAGTGGCGATCTGCTCATCTGTCATCGAAAATAATATGCTACACATGGGCGGACTGGCCAACTGTGTGTTCTGGAGAATCACAGTACGTCCGGCCGTCAGCGAAACGAGCCGGTCGCCAACGGGCCGTTGACGACCGGGCTCGGTTTGCTGACGGCCGGCACCGCCCTTTATTTATTTCACTGTGTTTAAACTGCATCATGTAAGTTGCGCTGACAGGCGACAGAGGTCCACAGCTTCCCCGCAGCGAGGCTCCCCCCCCCCTCCCGTTGACAGTTAACGAGCGTCGAGCTCCCCCCAATATACAGTTTAATCTGAAATGCCCACTGGATGTCCGTCTGAGCTCTCCTCCCCATGGATCCTACTCATCAGCTCTCCAGCGTCTGGGCCGGCCTCCCAAGCAGCTCCACTTGTCCGTCTCAGTCCCCCTCAACCCCTTTATCCAGCCCCTGCTTCAATCTCCCTGACCATTCAGTTCCTTCATTTACCAGATTTTTCATTTTCCAACTGCACGCCAGATTTAGTTTCTTCCTCTAATGCTTACGTGTCCAACTTCAATAAACTGTGATTCACTCACCACTAACACATCTGTTACCAGGCATTCATCTAATGTAGTCAAAAAGTGCTAAGAAGATCAACTACTCCTACTACTTCTCTGCTCATAAAAGTGAATCCCACATTGAATATTTTCCAATAGTAATCATAGTAATTCTATCATATCCCAAATAAATTACTCTTAGATTAATCTGATTATTGTCTCAGACCTGTCAGCTGTTATCTAGTGCACAAAATGCCCCAATTTCTTCAATTAGGTCAGCATATCACTCCCAACAGAAAATATTGAAATAGTGTTGTCTCCAGAGATCTTTGATGGAACCCCTCGCAGCAGCCGTTCACCAACACAACATTCTAATGGATTTCTTATTTTCATGACTTTTGCAGATGACACGACTCCATCAAATGTACTTGTTTTGGTCTTTGATTGTATTTACCTAATTCAAGTTTAGACAAGTAGACTCAGGCCTTTCACATGTTGTTTTGACTGGAAGTGTTTTTTTTATTTTGTTTCTCATTTATTTTGTGCAGGGGACACTTGTAGAAGAGATGTTTTGTGGTTTGGGATTCTTATAGTGTTTTCTCATGTTGTCTATTTTACCATGATTTTCTTGTGTCGCTTGGATTGTTTAATAATTGTTATTACCATTATTATTGTATTCATTTTTGTTGAAATGTCTGTTATTTTCAATGTTTTGTGAGGTCCCCCCTGGATGTCAACGTTACTTTAAAAACGTCACACAATAACAAAAAATGTAGTGCAGTTCAAAAATGTTATCCTCAAATTAGAATATGGAACATTTTAAATATATATTTGTTTTTGTCTCCCTTTTTTCTGTCCGGTCCCCTTTACTATTTTGTAGTGTGCTTTGTATGTCCTTCTTGTCCCGTGTCTGTATATATATATTTCATCACTGACTATCTTTTTCCTATATAGTAAGACGTTGTTAAATGTTTTCTTTTTGCACATTTAAAAAAAGCACAGAAAGCAAAGAAGTGCGGCTCTAGCAGTCAAACGGAAAGAGACTACATGATTAATCAAGGCAGAATGTCTTGGCACAGTGAAAGCAGCTATAACTCTCTGGTGCATATTCTCTGTCAACCACCTTGTCACAACAATCAACAACAACTAAATCCCTGCTGACAGACTGAGAACAACAATAAAGTCACAATCAGTGTGATGAAACTGTTTGTCTCCAGCCTCAGCTTAGTCTCACACAATGCAGAATGAAGGCTCAGATCAGGGTTTAATGAAGAAGGGAGATATTTATAACATAATTGTAACACACACATACACAGCATGCGGACACACACAAACTGAGTCGAGTACAGCAGTGTGGGATAGAGAGGGAGTTTGTTTGTGTGTGTGTGTGGTGTGTGTGTGTGTGTGTGTGTGTGTGGTGTGTATGTTTGAGTGTACGTGTGTGTACGTCTGCATTGAAGTAAGTACACCAGACAAAATATGATCATAAAGCTCATTACACGTTTGGATGCATTACATCGATCCCCTCTGGACAGTGAGTGTGTGTGAGTGTGTGTGTGTGTGTGTGTGTGTGTGTGCGTGCATGCGTGCGTGCGTGCGTGTGTGTGTGTGTGTGCGTGTGTGTGTGTGTGCTGTGCGTGCGCAGGGGGTTGGTATAAAGATGCAGGAGTGGAGCAGAGGGCTTTCCTAATCTAGGATGACTCATTCAGTGTTTCTGGGACTTCCACCCCCTCATCTCCTCTCACAGAGCCTCTCCACAGAGTGCAGCTGAATGAATCCTGAACAGTGCACAGAACAGAGGAACGAGTGGAAACATGATGGTGTTTTTCACAGATATAGTGGGATGTTTCCCCAAATTGGCATGATGTAACTTAGATGAAATGAAAAATATAAAAAAGGTTCTGGATCCTTGTGTATTTCTTTAATTGTACGGAGATTTTGATTGAGGGGTGGGGATAAACACAATATAATTGAGCGAAAAAATGGAAATTAAATAAGATTACATTGTTAAACAGGCTTGAAACAGGTTTAAGACTTTTAAGTTGCAAAAATATATAGGGTTATGGGAATTATTGGGGATGTTTTCAGCTAGGATTTTGATAAAAACCTGATAAATTCAAGTTTAAGTCAAATCAAAACTTCTAATCATCATTTGAAACAAATCTTTATATTAGTCAAGTCGTGGTCATAACTACAGCAGATGTATTTGCTCTGACCCAATATGAATATTATAGGAATAAGATTAAAACAACCATTCAAATCTCCAAATCCCCTAACAATAAAAACAAATATCACAAGTGGATGAATAAAAGCACACTACCTGCTCTGCCAGCCCTGGAGCGGGTTAGTGTATTTCCTCAGGACCCCCTCCAGGTGCCTCTTGGTGCGGGCTGTTTTAATGGGCGAGGGGCCCGACCCTGCGCCGCTGTCCCTGGTCCCGGAACCTGCTCGGTGCTCCACGGCAGCGGGGCTGTGCGGCTGTCCGCCCCGCTGCTCCTGCCTCCTGCAGGGGCTCCGAGCGGGACTCTGCTTCATGCTGAGGCTGGATCAGGACGCGTAAAGGCGCACAAGACTGAGATGTGAGGGTTTAATGCAGAACAATGCAGGGCTCTGGAAAGTGATGCAGCGATGAGAGAGTGAGGGAAACAAGTGGAGCTTTACTCCATCCTCTCACACTGTGACACACGGGAGGGATATTCCGACTCTTACACTGCGGAGCTCTCTCTCCCTCTCTCTCTCTCTGACGTTATTGCGTTTTTATTTTGGAAATCCCGGGTTGGTCACTCCCCCTAAAGCCCGGGATACTCCCCCTTCAGCCGGCCACTGGGAATCAATATTGCAGTAAAAGCCCAGATAACATCCCACTATGGGCTGTATTTATGTTATTATTTGAAATTAGAATACTCCTAATAAACATGCAGCCAAGGACCTTTGGACATGATGCTGAGCTGACATATTATCAGCCGTGGGCTAACAGATGATGATGGTTTTTGCACATGTGGTGTCTTTTTAATAATGCATGAATGCAAACAGTCTTCAGAGTAAGCACCTGGACATATAACATCAGACTATTTAAATAAAGTTGTTTCATTTGATGGCTCCTAATGCATAACATTAGCGCAAATGCACAACTAAAGGACTTTATCTGCCTCCACATAGGGACACACTGTGTTGTGTGTGAGGTAGCCTCAGGTTTCTATCATCAGTCATATTAAAGGGATTTTTATTCTGTTATCTTTATCATAAACACACGATATCTGCTGCATATGCATAATCCTTACATAGTAAACCCTTTGTTCATTCGGAATGATGTTATCTTTTATTCAGCAAGTATCCCTGTTATGTAATCGAGAGAGCATCGTTTACGTCAACAAACACGAAAACTACAACTTCCAACGGACTCGTCTACGGCACATTCGACGACGTCATCAGTATAAGACGCGTGTTGTGCAGCTTGCATCGATAGCTTCCCCTCCCCATGGAAGTGTAAGGTACCCCCAGTCCCTGTGAGTGTAGGACAGAGAGCCAGCAGAGCGAACACCGACAGCTCCACACATTGCCTCCCCGCTCGAGTGTCCATTCTCGGGAACTGGTCAACTGGGCGGAGGCGGAGCTTAGAGAGGGACAGCACTGTGTGGAGCTGTGATTCAAGGCTTCTATTGCCATTTGTACATAGCTACAGTGTAGATGTAAATGAAAATCTTAGTTCACAGGCTCCTCCAACAGTGCAACACAATAAAACAGATAAAATAGTGCAAGTAAATACAAATAAAACAGAATTGAAATAGTGCAAGAATAGTCTACAAGTAATTGGAATATGATATTAGATAATTCGTTTTTTTAAGTTGCAAACAGATGAATGTTATGGATGTTTTTTCAAAAGTTCAGATGTTCAACAGTCTTATGGCCTGTGGAATGAAACTGTCTTCTGCTTAAGTGTATTGTGTAATAATGGACTTGTGAAGCCAACCCACTTGCTGCCTTTATCCATATTCAGTTCACAAATGCTTTAATTACTTTGTGTAACTCATACTTTTAATATGCCTACAGTAGGTGTCAAGGCTCATGTAATGCTGGCACATTATACATGTCATTTATAATGCCATGAAATGTTCTTTTAGCCATCACAAATGTACCGCAGAGCTTTGAAGCTGTGTAGGTAACACTGCTTGTGGCTTCAAATGGAAACAAGTCATGAATATATTAAATGTAGTTATTCAAATGTAAAAAATAAGGTTTGATGTGACTTGTGAACCAGATTTAGCCCAGTTTTAACCTTGATGTCAACTTCCGAATCAGTTTCTAATGAGACATCACTAGACAACTCAAAGCCCACCTTGTGCTCAGTTTTAAGCTGTATGTCTCTTTTTGTTTTCTCCAGGTGGCTGTCCCGAAGCTGCGTGATGCCGCAGAGGGGGCTGACCTGCTGGTGTGCGTGGTCCCTCACCAGTTCATTCGAAGTCTCTGACGACATGAAGGGATGTGTGTCCCCCAACGCTCGGGGAATCACTCTTATAAAGGTATTAAGGCTACTTGTTATTGAGTTCTGGCTTTCTGGGTCTGCCTGCATCACTGCTGGAGGACCAACAGTGACACAGTCTTTGTTGTTTTACCTACCAAGCTTCATTCAAGTTACAGTAATATGATGCATATGTTCTTAAAGTCCTTTAAAGACTCTTAGTTTTAATTTGTGGGTATTCCCAAATGAGTTGTATGAAGGATTTAGGAATAACAGCTCTGTGTAGCCCCCTCTTTGTAGCCCTATCAAAGTGGACTCAAAAGTGGTTTTGTGGACCGGTGTAGTATTTTCTTTGTTATATCTTTATCAGTTAAAAGTCAAGGTGTTGCATAAGAATTCTGAAGCTGTTGCTGTTAACACACAACATCAAATAAATTCTCAATGTAGGTGAAACAGACAACCTTAGAAAACACAAATCGTGGCCAAATCAACAGTGTGATGCAATGAGAGAACGTTTGTTTCTGGTCTACCCACAACTTAAAGAACTTTACTACACACACCGACGTCTACCCATTCACCCACACATTCATACTCTGATGGCAGCGGCTGCCATTAAAAGTGCAGGCTCGTCATCAGGAACAGTTGGTGGTTCACTTTCCTGCTCAAGGAGACTTCGAGAAAATAGTAGATTGGAATCTCACATTTTTTAACAGTTCAAAACTATTATACTGCTTTCAGAATGTATGTATATTATCCTGATAATCATACAAGTGCACTTACAATTCTGGAAATGCCACTCAAACATACCGAAATCACTATACTAACATTTGTATTAAACACATGTTGTATTGCATCACAAATACAGGACACATTATTAAGACATTAGTTTTGAGTGAAAATCAAACAATCCTAAATAAGGTAACCCTAAATCACAAGTTACCCCTGCATGTATTACGAATAAATAAACAAATAAAAAAACACCAACATACTCTACAATGATAGCATCTAGAGCAGTTGCTCAAGTAACTCATGAGGGGATACATGGGATTGAATGAAAATGGAAATCCAGCATTTAGCATCTTTTTCTTCGTGTTGTGCGGTTAAATCCCAAATCGTGACATCAGTCAGAGAGCTGAGGAGGCTTTTTATAGAACATCTGAAAACCAGGCTGTGTGCTCCACTCTGGGGCTTGTTTGTTCATTTCCACTGCAGCACAGATGACAGATATATGAAAGCCATGCTACACACACACACACACACACACACACACACACACACACACACACACACACACACACACACACACACACACACACACACACACACACACACACACACACACACACACACACACACACACACACACACACACACACACACTTCCTTCCTTTGTTTCCTGAACCCACTTAAACGCCTTCCAAACGGATATTTCTTACACGTTTTCTCTTCATTTGATTAGTTTACTCACAGATGCAATTACTTGTTTGGCTTCTAATTATGTGCTGTTATTATATGTGGCCTCGTGGTTAATCAAAACACATTTTACAAAGAAAATAGGCCTTTACCATTTCCAACCAACTCGAAGGCAAAACTAAATGATATCAAACTAAGATCGTCTTTCTTTCTAATATGAACTGTGTCTTCCACACCGTTTGCCAATATCTGTGTTTCTTAAGTAGCAGCGCTGTGGGAATTGCAGTCTTGTATAGTCCCTTGACTCCAGATGGCTTCACTAGGTGTCGATTTTATTTGACCTTTTCACAAAAAACAAAAACGCTCTAACACTGTGTTGGGGGGCATTGTGGAGGGGGGCTTCCGATCAGGCGTAAGGTGTTGCAGGACTGAGAGAGACACTAAGGCTGGATTCACGCTTAATTTCCCCCAGGAATAGAAAGCCAGGAGCAAAGTAGGTCACATGTGTTACCTTACCGTTTGAAATAAAGTAGACCTTCAGAATAAAAGCATCATCTCATCATATTTAAAGGTCCCCTATTATACTGTCTTTCATCAATATACTATAGGTCTCAAAACATCTCTCTGATTGGCTGAAACACCAAACAGATCATTGCAGCATCCCATAATCCCCTCTGTTTCAGCCCTGTTTCAAAAGTGCTGATTCTCTGTCTGTGACTTTAGATGAAAATAAGGAGCCCCTCCCCACGCCCCTCTGAGAGAGATTTGGTTAAAAAGAACACAATGGTGCTCTAGGAGGAGATTCAGGTGATAAGGTGTGGGGGGGGCGCTGATTGGCTAATGGTTACACAAGCCAAAAAAACATTATGGCATTACAAAGTGGCCAAAAAAAGGCTTTTATATAAATGGATCAAGACAAAAAGTGAGCGAATCTTTTTTCCTGAAACGTTCAGAGTCTCTTTACACCGAGGGGACACATGTTTATGTATAAAATACATGAAAAAGTGGATTTTGTATAATAGGAGAACATATATATTTTGCATGAACAATTCAAACCTTTTAATGAAAAAATATATTTGAATTAGCCTCTTTCTTTGCTTCATACTATCATGTTGTCTTTCTATCTAAAACTATATTTTTCTCGATGAGCAGCCAATTATCCATCCACAAAGCGTCTCAGAGTAGTGTCTCCAGCTGCAGTAAAGTGCAGGTTGCCAGGTTTTGGCTTTGGTCTTTTTGCTTATTTGTTTAAAAGCATCTTAGAGACACGGAGAGACAGCTGTCCAGCTGTTCATGCATAGAATGCATTTGCTTTACTGCAGTGCTGAGTCCAGTATCAATCTGTGCACGTCTCCAAAAAGCACTAAACGCAAGAAGCAGTAAAGTATTGCACATACTGTAAGAATGAAATATTCCTTGTTTCCCTCTCATTCAGCCCTTCACTGCTTTAGTACAGACGAGAGCACCTTTGGCAATAATTCCACCGAGGGGCTGAAGAAGATGAATACAAATACCTGGGGTTTGATTCTCTGATGTTTATGAGCTCTTCTCTAGTGAAAGAGCTCAATGTGCTGCGAGTAACAACAAATAGAAGACAACACAGTGAGACCACAACACAGAGGCAGCCATACTTAGTGCCATCAGTTGTATTTTTCTCCCTGGGTCAAAATGATTGACTTGATTGAGTGCTGAGCATGGTTTCAGAACCATGGACAGCGCTGTTTCTTGTGAGAGTAGGTGTGGCGCTGTCAGAAACAAAGCAGAGATTGTGAACCCATGTGCTTCCTTTCAGTCTTAGTAAATACACTTTGGACTCTCATTCAAGTCACTTCATTCATCAAGTTTACGACTCACCTCCCAACAGTCTCTGATTGCTCTGTAGCTTTCAATCGAAGCTCTGGTGGAGTCAGCTCTGCAGCTCCACCTACTGGACAGTGGTGTCCGAGTCCTGCTGATGTTCATATCCAGGTTGTTACAGTTCATATTTAATTCCAACTGTGAAGTGATGCGATACAGTGACGGAAAACTGTAGATCAAAGAAATCTTCACAGCGACCGTCAGTGCTGTCAACTCAAGGCACAGAATGGAGAAAGGGGATTGCGTTTTTTTAATGATCCAGGATTCAGTAATATTCACAATACATGCTTCTGGGGCCAGATGATGAATCATTTTTATGACACATTCAAACTGCTCCTGTGTGGCTGTGAAGAGGCTCACACCAAAGCATTTTCTCCACCCCTTCCCTTCCTCGCTGATAAAGCACATGGGATATTTCCATCTAACTCGTTGTCCCCATCATCCCCGATGTTGGCTCAACTCCCATCACTGTTTCATGTTTCTTCAAGTGCAGCTGCCTAAAGAAACTCGTTGCCTGAGCAGATCTGAGTCTGCATGACGTTAATCCTTTATTAAGACATCTCCCTCCCACATGTGTTACGCCACACCTTCCTCCTGCAGTCACACTCCTCACATCTCTCTCTGTGTGTGTGTGTGTGTGTGTGTGTGTGTGTGTGTGTGTGTGTGTGTGTGTGTGTGTGTGTGTGTGTGTGTGTGTGTGTGTGTGTGTGTGTGTGTGTGTCAGGGTGTAGATGGGAGCCCTGGGGGCCTGAAACTTGTCTCTGATATCATCTGAGAGAAAATGGGGATTGACGTCAGCGTCCTCATGGGAGCAAACATCGTGAATGAAGTGGCTGCTGAGAAATTCTGCGAAACCACTATCGGTGAGAGGGATACATGTGACTGTGAGCTAATGTTTGATTATAGAACAATATGGTGAAGATCAAGAAATCTGAAAATGATACAGTGACTTTTTAGAAACTGATTCCTTGATGTGGTGATCAAAGTATAAAGTCTCAGATGAATTGGTCATTGTAAAGACGATATCATACCTACTGTATGGGATAACTCTAACAACATGTATTCACACTGGTGGTACTGATATTTCTGGGATAAAAGAATAGAACTGATCATATCAACCAGTTTGATGTATTCATCTGGATCTGTCATTTGTATACATACAATATCATATATAAATCAGAACATGTTAAGCTGTAGTCATAAACTTAAAGGTTCCGTTCTGTACACACACTTCACAACATTGCATTATAAACACAGTTTATGAATGTGTGTGTGTGGGGGGTGCGTGGGTTTTTTCAGGCAGTAGGATTCTGGAGAATGGGCTGCTTTTCAAAGAGCTGCTGCAGACTCCAAACTTCAGGATCAGAGTGGTGGATGATGCTGAGCTCTGAAGGTACACACACTGTCATACTGTACACACACTGTGACACACACACTGTCATACTGTACACACACTGTGACAAACACACTGTCATACTGTACACACACTGTGACAAACACACTCTCATACTGTACACACACTGTGACACACACACTGTCATACTGTACACACACTGTGACACACACACTGTCATACTGTACACACACTGTGACACACACACTGTTATACTGTACACACACTGTGACACACACACTGTCATACTGTACACACACTGTGACAAACACACTCTCATACTGTACACACACTGTGACACACACACTGTCATACTGTACACACACTGTGACAAACACACTCTCATACTGTACACACACTGTGACACACACACTGTCATACTGTACACACACTGTGACAAACACACTCTCATACTGTACACACACTGTGACAAACACACTCTCATACTGTACACACACTGTGACACAGCCACTGTCATACTGTACACACACTGTGACACACACACTGTCATACTGTACACACACTGTGACACACACACTGTCATACTGTACACACACTGTGACAAACACACTGTCATACTGTACACACACTGTGACACACACACTGTCATACTGTACACACACTGTGACACACACACTGTCATACTGTACACACACTGTGACACACACACTGTCATACTGTACACACACTGTGACACACACACTGTCATACTGTACACACACTGTGACAAACACACTCTCATACTGTACACACACTGTGACACACACACTGTCATACTGTACACACACTGTGACAAACACACTCTCATACTGTACACACACTGTGACAAACACACTGTCATACTGTACACACACTGTGACAAACACACTCTCATACTGTACACACACTGTGACATACACACTGTCATACTGTACACACACTGTGACGTAGAGGGAGTAGAGGAGAGGGCTGAGCACGCAGCCTTGAGGGGCTCCGGTGTTGAGGATCAGGGTGGAGGATGTGATGTTTCCCACCCGCACTGCCTGGGGTCTGCCCGTCAGGAAGTTCAGGATCCAGTCACAGAGGGCGCTGTTGAGCACGAGGTCTCTGAGCTTGATGGCCAGCTTGGAGGGCACAATGGTGTTGAAGGCTGAACTGTAATCAATGAACAGCATTCTCACATATGTGTTCCTCTGGTCCAGGTGTGAGAGGGCAGTGTGGATGGTGAGGGCTATGGCGTCGTCTGTGGACCTGTTTGCTCTGTAGGCAAACTGCAGGGGGTCCAGAAAGTCAGGGAGGGAGGAGGTGATGAAGGTTTTGACTAACCGCTCAAAGCACTTCATTATGATGGAGGTGAGTGCTACTGGGCGGTAGTCGTTGGGGCAGGTGATTATTGTATTTTTGGGGACAGGAACGATGGTGGAGTGTTTCAAACATGTGGGGACTACAGACTGCAGCAGGGACCTGTTGAAGATGTCTGTGAACACCTCTGCCAGCTGAACTGCACACACCCTGAGAACACGGCCAGGAATGCCATCAGGTCCAGGAGCCTTGTGTGGGTTAACCCTTTTAAAGGATTTACACACATCTGCCCTATTTAAAACAAAAGGGCAGGGCTCCTGATCCTTCTCTGCACCTCCACAGCCTGGCTGATCTCGAATCGTGCAAAAAAACTGTTCAGCTCATCTGGGAGACATGCGCACGCAGATAGTCCCGCAGCACCCCCCGCTGCTCCTTTGTAATCTGTCATTGTTCTTCGTCCCACCCACATGTTCTGGGTGTTAGAGCCTTTGAAGTCAGACTCCACTTAGTCTCTATATTGTCTCTTTGCATTGCTAATTGCTCTCCGGAGTTCATACTTAGATTTCCTGTACTCCTCTAAATCTCCACCTCTGTGCGCGATAGTGCGCGCTTTCAGCTTGCCGCACACCTCGCTGTTTATCCAGGGCTTTTGATTCGGAATGTTCGTACAGAAACCTTCGGTACCACGTCATCGATGCATTTCCCAATGTAGCAAATGACCGTGTCCGTGTGTGTGTTGATATTTTTGTCCTCAAACACATTCCACTCCGTAGATTCAAAGCTGGGCTGCAGAGCTGTAGTATGCTATATAGGTTTTCGTGCATGTAAATGTTTTACAAGGGTTAAATCAATGTGTTTTTTAACATTAAAGCATGGAGACATGTCACAGTAGAGGCACTAAATACAAATATGAACCTGAAAACTAGCATAATATGTCCTCTTTAAAGGTGTCCTATCATGCAAAATGCACTTTTTGATGTCTTTTAGACATAAATATGTTTCCCCGTTGTGTCAAGGAACTCACAAAGTGTCAGAAAATACAACCCTCTCTCTTTTCCTCCGTACGGACAGAGCTGATCCAGATTTGCGTCCGGTATGACGAAATATCTGAAATGTGGGCTGGCTTTACACCCACGGTCCTATCAGAAACGTTGCTATCAGAAACAATGCCGACGTGTTTTGGACGTAATATGGTCTGTGTTTACATTAGCAAGCATCGCTAACACTCAGAGCTAACCTGTACTGGAGAGAGTATGTGTAAAAAAGCAGGAAATAATACTCACCTGTGGTAAACCCGCAAGAGAAAAAGCATTTGAGCTCCATACTGTTTTAGAAATAGTCCTTGATGTGGTTTTGAACATGATATGGCGTTTAATCACGGCAGCATTTAGCTGAGAATCTCTCGGTAGAATTCTGAGCGGGCATTAGCTCCCACCCCAACTTTCTTCCCTTTTTTTTTTTTTTTAAAGCGAAGGGCCCAAAATCAGCGTTTCTCTAACAGGGCTGAAATAGAGGGATATGAGGCATGGCTAGAATGGGTGATCTGTTTGGTATTTTGAGCAAAACACATCATAGACATGTATTTTATATATTTTTTATATATCTGAGACCCATAATATATGCCTCAAAATAGCATGACAGGAAACCTTTAAGTAAGGAGTTGGTTAGCCTAGCTTAGCATAAAGACTTGGACCATGTGGAAACAGCTAGTCTGCATCTGTCTCCTAACTCACTGATTAACCTATTTGTATTGTTTTGTACTTATACTTAAGAAAATAATTGTATTACTTGTTCCACCACTGTTAGCACCAGTGCTCCATGATGACAGGATCATCTCTGAGTCTATAGAGTTGATATGAGTTTATATACAGTTCTTGGTCAGAGTGTGCTCCTCTCTGCAGGTTCCCTCTCTTCACAGCAGTCTACCAGATTTGTTTCGAGGGGCGACCCGTTCAACAGATGATTTCCTGCCTGCAGAGCCACCCAGATGTGTGATCAGGGAGTTACATCAACACCAGTTTAGCATAAGATGCTAATGCTGTGAGCCTAAGCTTTACCTTTGGAGTGTGATTCTGAGGTCCTGCAGTGGGTTCAGTGCAAATATAATGTCCTTAATCAATTCAAGTTCAGGTCAAATGGACCAAAAGGAACTGCACTTTGCCAGATTTCCAGCAGCCAACAATTACCGTTTCCTTCTCATCTGATAACAAAGCATACTGTCATCCTTTTGAAAGGTACACTAAATCAATAATATTTTCTTGCAGTTTGGGTAGACTGTGGTGTTAATATCCCAATGCGGGAGTTAAAGCAAACATCAATTAAATTATTACTGATCCTCACCTGGTTTCCTGATGCCTCTATAGCAGCGGTAGGCAAGTAAGTTTGGCCGTGGGCCAATTTTTGGCTGAGCCACAAGATGGCGGGCCAGAACATAATCAAAGCCTAATTCAAGGAATTTATTTTGGTAAGAGGGCGCAGCGCCCCTGTTCCCCGGTTCAGAAAAAACTCTGATATCGCTGATAACCCTCCCCATCAACACTCTAATGCCCAGTCAGATCCGCTGATTGGTTCACTGATGATATAGGCGCCCAATCCAGAGCCTCTGGATAGACCCGCCCAAAGGGAGGATCGTCGTCTCTAGCCCCATTTCAGTCCCATGTTAAAAGTCAGGGCTATTATCTGTATTTTAACAGACTTATCTTTTAAATTGAGGTGCATTTATTGTTCTCTTCAAAGTTAATTTTCTTCTGAAATTTTAGGGAGGATGGTCCTCCCTTTCCTCAATGGACGAGCCTCCACTGAGTGAGTTATTAACTAGGTAGCAGTGTTATTTAACATACTTTTATTCTGATAAGTATTGTCAAGTTCTCTGGGTTTTTGGCATTTATTTGAGTGTTTGCCCACTATTGAGAGGCTTGAGGGGCAACAGAGGACGCATGGACAACTGGAATCCTTTTTCCTTTTCTTTATTTCAACTTTTCAAGGACACATTAGGATTCTTTCAGGTTGAAAACCTTTAAAAAATACAAAATAAATAAATTACAGCATGTTTTGCTTTGCAATTTATTTAATATATTATAACCTAAATTAATCAGTAACCAAGTATTTTACTCAACTCAATGTATTTAATAGTTAAAGGGGACCTATCATGCAAAATGCACTTTTGTACGTCTTTTATACATGAATATGTGTCCCCGGTGTTCCAGGGAACTCACCAAGTGTCAGAAAACACAACCCTCTCTATTTTCCTCCATACCCAAATCTCTAAAAAAGGGGCTGCAATGGATCTGATAAAAACTGATCCAGATTTGAACACTGTCCTGACGTCAGGACGGTGGCGCTACAGCTATTGGGCCAACTCTCCACCTATCAGGGGAATGTGGGGTTGGGCCACGGCCGGCCATTGCCGCTCGAAAGCGCTGGAGACACTGTAGTACATATGCCAGGCCTGTACGTGGCGCTGTAGTCTGCCACAAAAGCAGCGAAGAAGACTTCCCGCGCATGGTTGCCATGGTTACCCTTCTGTTTATTCTCCGCTGTGGCTTTTGTTCTCCCTCCCCGAGGCAAGCACTGTAATTCTCTCCGGTTAGTCCACCAGCAGATGACAAACACCCACCTCTCCGCCTCTCCGCCTCTCCGCCTCTTCCAAGGAACGACCGTGCGGCAGAGTTTCAGTTAGGTTTTCTTTCGCCGGTCAAGATGTCCGTTAAAGTTTAAATCTTCCGGACAAAATTAGAAAAGTGCCGGTCAAAGGTCTTCTTTGTTATTTATTGAGCTTTAAAACAAATGAATAACGACTCTATATAATAATATAAGAATAAAACACGGAGGACGGAGATCTCTTTTTCTCCCCCTCTTCTGACTTGATCAGAGCACGCTCCCCTCTCCTGCAGGGGGGCGTGGTCAGCTGCAGCTCACAGAATCAGCCCCCTGCAAAAACAGGGCTGGAGAACAGCAAATAGAGTGAAATGAGGCATGGCTAAAATGCATGATCTGTTTGGTATTTTGAAAACAGAAACGTATAAATACACCTTCTATAGGTATGGCCCTACAATATATCATTTAAATATAGCATGATAGGTGTCCTTTAAATAAGTACTTTAATTGACGTCAGTGCACCCCGCTGCCTGATTGTGCCTGTGCTGTATGTCATTCATTCTCAACATAGATAAAAGTACAATAAGCATTCTTCAGGTGTAGGTAGATTCTCTATTCGGACATTATAGCCTATATGTGCGACTGTCGGTCCGATGTTGTAAACAAAAAAATAAATAAATAAAATCTCAAAATATCTTTTGATTTTTTATTCTCAAAATGACGGGCCAGATATTATTGCTGGCGGGCCAACAATGGCCTGTTGCCGACCCATGCTCTATAGTCTGGATTTACTGCTGCAGCTGTGTGTTGTTATGTGTTTCTATAACTCATGTGGGTTCTGTTTTTTCCTGGTTTTTGGTTTCCACCCCACAGTCCTCCTCCTTTCTACAAAAAACAACAGGCTCCATCTTTTGCTAAAGTAGCACAAATGATCATGTCATTAGCTTATTCATACAACTGCGTTATATTGCAGCTTTGCTGTTATTATTTTGCTTTTTATAATGATATTATAAACAAGTTTGTATTCACTTCAGGTGTTTTCAACCTAGAATTATGTTTATGTATTATATATTTATATAAGTTTGACTCACTCTGCTGTTCAGCTTTTAGAAACACTATGTTTTGCCCAAGACCAGAATAAAGTATTCCAGGTTTGTGACCAAATGCTAGAAGTGAACCTGTGTTTACTTAAAGGGACAGTTTGGGAAATGCTGAAACAACTCAAAACAGCAGCCATTACAACGTAGGACTGCATCTGTGTCATATTGATGCCCTTTAGTTAAGTCCTGCACAAGCACAACAGCACCAGACTATGCATTTTGACTTAGGACGAGATAGGGATATTTACTCTGTGTTTCAGTATTGTGTAACTTCACAGGATTTGTGTTCATGCGTTTTCTTTTCCTTTCAGGTAAATATACAGTAGTTGCGAAAATACTCAAAAGGATTTCTTTAAAAAAAAACTCCCACATCTAGCACAGAAAATTGATTAATTGTGTACCGGCAGACATGAGTTTCAATCGCAGATCAATAGCAATATCGTAAAATGAAATATTGAAGATTGTATAGAGCTCTTTTCTAGTCTGTGTGTCCTCACAGTCCCAATAGCACATCCCAGGACCCGCTGTGTGCTGGACAGTCCCGACAGTTCCCTTTGAAAAGTGCTGTGCTCGGCTCTTTATCTGAGGGGGCGAGCCATCTGCCAATCCAGTGAATTAGGCTGTGTTCAGCATAAAGCCTTTTATCCTGTAAGAGTGAAACATTGTGAAAACATGTCCATTAAAGCTAAACTCTCACCTTTTTGTCACTTTTGTTTCTGTGCTCAGCATTAGCCGTATTAATGGATTATGAGAACTGGTAACTGTTCCACCTCATTCCAATCGTAACATTTTTCATCCGGCACATGACCCCAAAACGTTTTCTCTTCCTGATCTGTCTCTGTGCTGTGAGTCCACTGCCAATGATCACAAGTGAGCCTGCAGGCCTGTAGTTTAAATCCATCCATCTGAATCAAAGCATGAAAGCCTGGGACAGATGAGGGCTTAATCCACTGTCCACGGAGGACAATGAGCCTGTTCTGACTGGTGCATCAGAAAATGTCTTGTTCTTAGAACAACTGAAACTCTCTGTGTAATGCGGGTCTAATGTAGGAGCTGAATACACAACCATCCATACCATCAGCTGACCAGGTACTGATACACACACACACACACACACGCAACTTTAAAGGTCCCATGTCATGGCCATTTCTACTGATCATAATTCCATTGTTGAGGTATACTAGAATAGATTTATATTGTGCAATTTTCCAAACTCACATTGGTTTCTCATACAGCATCTCTGTATAGTATGTGTATTCACTCTCTGTCCTAAACGGCTTGTTGGAGCTCCTGAGCCCACTGTGCTCTGATTGGTCAGCTCGCCCACTCTGTTCTGATGAGTCTACCACCGTTACAGTGGAACATCAGTGATTATGTGTTACAATGGCATTAGCAACCAGAAAATGACACCAGTAAGGACAAACAGATGAGAATGCAGCGTGGGGTCTGGGTGCCGTGATGGCAGGATGTTTCGTGGCTCGCTGCTGCGAGGAGCGGACAGTGTGAGCTGGGTTCATTTCCTGCTTGCTGCGTGGGGTCTGCGAGACAGTGAGACATCACGAATGGACGCGGGAAGGGGGATGCTGAGGGGGCTGCAGCATCCCCATCTGCGAGGGTCCACTAGCACCCGCAACCCCCCGCACCCCCAAACGCGGCGCACCTACAGTGTAAGCGCGTCACAGTTTCGCCGCTGAGAGAGTGTCTGGTATGGGCACGTCACTGTACCCAGGAAGAAAACAATGGAAAAAGAGAAATCTCCAACGAGGCGTTCTGGGGCAGCATAGACAGGTCTTTTCTGTGTTAGAGTTGTACTCGCTACAGGTTGTACTTTGAGGGTTTGTGACTTTGCAGACCGTTTATATGCATAAAAACCTTCATAACACACAAGGGGACGGGTAATAACCAGAAAAACATGACATGGGACCTTTAAGAGAACAATATAAGAGGCCAAAGCCCTTTGTTGTAATTACTTTAATTACATTTTTACATTTTAATATATTTGTTATATGTTGTATTTATGATATGATTGATGATTTAAATATCCAAGCCATGTTGTTTTGTCAAATCCTTCAAATAAAAAAAAATGTATTAAAAAAAACGAAGAACAACCTGACGGAAGTAGCGTAATGTTGTTGACGCGAGGTGTATGCTGGGAAAGTTTTGATCGTTCGCCATTTTCCTGTTAGAAAGAGAGAGGGAGAGCCAGAAAGGTTGTAGCCTCTTAGCTACCAACATTACCAGGTACATTAACGTTAGCTCTTCACTGGGTAAGAAACAGTATTATGGCATTATCTTTTAGAACCTGATGTTTTTGGCGCCCCAACCCTCAGTTGCGTTTACTGACCCAAATGGCCTAAATACTGTTCTGTTGCACGGAGAGATGTTTCTATAACTCAGTGAAGCAAAGTGCAACGGGATGGATGATCTGCACCTGGTTCATCCACAGCTTCATCCGGGTATTTAGATACCCTTCATAGTGATAGTGAGCCTTTCATGTCAGTCGTGTAGCATTAGCTCGGACAGCTAACATTAGCTAGTTTCTGCACTGTGCGTTTTTGGCATCCAGCTGCTAAGACAGTTGTCAAATATGTTAGCGTTAAGACCAGACATGTCACTGTCTGTCAATATGCACAATATATCGTCAAGTCATAAGAGAGGCGATAACAGCGACTTTAACATACATATTTTACAATTTCCGAGTTGTGCTGCTGGTGAAATGTAGTTGCTCGTTTAATTTAATAACGAGGAAGTGAAGTGCACATTTTCTGGTTGTTGAACCAAAAATGCTACCATTTCAGCTCCAAACGTTGCTTCAAATGGCATAGCTGCTTCTTTATAAGATATTGCTTATCCACATTTCGAGATTTCTTAAATGCCAGTTCATCTTTTTGTTGTTTCCCTCTATAAGCTGTGACTCTGGGTGTGACACCTGCCTGTGACTGACTGAGTGTGTCAGGGTCCTGTTGACCAGAAGTATTATCTTTGTCTTGTAATTCAGTTAGTATTACATTAACATTAGGTTGCTGTGGTTAATTTGCACAATATGCCTCGTAAATGAAAAACATTGACAATATCACACTGTCAGGAGATGTATTTATCTTCCCTGCCATACAAACATGTTAATCGTTAATAGGCTGTGTTTAGCAAAGTGACACATTTGCTACTGAATGAGTTTCTTCTGGACTTGTGATCGGCCCTATGTCAGGCCTAATGAGGAAGGACAACTTCTATTCATCTCATTTAGTTTGTATTTTAATAGTGTGTATGCTTATCCACCTGCAGATGTATCGTACCTAGTTGATGCATCCATTATAAAGTGCCTATTCTTTTTACAAGATGAATTTTAAATAAATGTTATAATTGAATAACAACAAACTAAGTATATGCAAGGCCCCTAGACTGTTTCTCTGTTAAGACCATTTCTATGATAGCCTCAGCTGTACAGGAGCGCTGTTTGTGGTTCTTAACATCATTTGCTGTAGCAGGTCTTCCTAACAAGAAGTAACAATGTTATCGCATAGGCATGGATCCTTGTGCTCTGTTTGCATTTGGTAGGAAATGCAGCTTGATATTTACTGCCTGTCTTTGTTTCTCTTCAGACAAGATGGCGAGTCCAGGGAAAGACACGTTCAGGATGAAGAGCTATAAGAACAAGGCCCTGATTCCTCAGGAGATGCGTCGAAGGAGAGAGGAGGAAGGAATACAGCTACGCAAACAGAAAAGAGAGGAGCAGGTAAACACACATCTTAAACCTCCTGACCACCAAACCTGTTCCCGGCACATTATCCCCAGCACAACAACAACAACACTTCACATCAAATCAGCATCAAGGTCGAGGGTCTGTATGTATGATGGTATTGAAAATCGTACCGTGGGGGTTTCTAAATGACCTAAGTAACACCCTCAGGTTCCTCTCAGCTGTTACTTTATGGTGTTTGAAACACATTGGACAGCAGTTTAACAGATTACAATGCTTCTTGTTGTTATTTATAGTAAACCTCTTTGATTTAAGTCTTCTGCCAAAAGTTTAAAATACAATACAATTGTCAATAGAAAGCATTACAAAAAAAACAGCACAACATACAATAACAAAACAATCATAAAATAAAAAACATAATAAAACAAGCAATTCTAAAAGTGGCAACAATACATACAGTATTACAGAGACAACCATCCTTTGTTTGTTTGTGCTTCTTTACACTACCAGAACAACAACCCCTGTGTTCTATTTCGTTTTCTTCTCACTCTCTATTTTCTATTATATATGTATTTACGCTATTTTAGGGTAATTTCAATAGATTATCTGTCAACCAAACTGTACTATTAATACTTTGTGTCTTCAAATAATGAATGATAATAATACAAAAAAGAGCAATAAGATAAACAAGTGAAACTATTAAAAAGGCCAATGTGTAGTGGTGAAAAGTATTTTAAAATGTGTCTTAAAGAGGATATAATAGCAGAAACACAAGGGTCTAAAAAGGGTCTACTGTGATAAATCTCCTGTGCACTTTTCTTTTGTGCGTGGGTGTTGGATCGTTCATCAAGCCAAAATGCTCTGAATCTGAGCAGCTGGTTAACCATGTGACGGTGAATGTGTGCCCACAGCTGTACAAGAGGAGAAATGTGTGTGTTCCTTCAAGTGATGAATCCATGCTGGAGTGTCCGATCCAGGATCCAGACGTCAGCTCCACAGTGCCTGCTGCCGGGGCAAGTGCTGCTTCTCTCTTTTATTAAAAGCTACAGCTATCTGAACATGATCATCATTTTGAATATCCCTCTCATGTGAACAGGAGGGGGTCATCACTCCAGATATGATTCAAATGATCTTCTCTGAGGACCCAGACCAGCAGCTCATTGCTACACAGAAATTTAGGAAATTACTCTCCAAAGGTTGGTGTTGCATCTCAGAATGTCTTTATTCCTATCATTCATGTATTTCATCTGCCACCGCTTCATATATTATCTGTTGTAGCACACTGTAAATCATTCATATAATACATGAAGGGTCTCTCCACCACAATGACCACTACATTTGAAACTGTAGTTACTAATGAAAAATGGATGTAAGGCAAGCAATCTTGATATTTTGGAGGATCAACATAAAATGGAAGATTTACCAAAACCCATAAGGCCAATTTTATCACTGTCCTATATTAAAATAATTATGACTGGACACAGTTTTTCCTGCATAGGGTTCAATCACTTTGCTGTTATACAGATAACCATAATCGTTTGTGCTAATATAGCCTTAATATCCACCCCCATAAACACGTATACAATAAGAGGCTGTGTGTGTTCTTCTGTGCAGAGCCCAACCCCCCCATAGATGAGGTCATTTCCACTGCTGGTGTTGTCAATCTTTTTGTGCAGTTCCTGAAGAGGAGTGAGAACTGCACTCTGCAGGTGAGAGCCACACAACACTCCTGTAAATGATCGTCATGATTCTTCCTATTCCTCCCTAAATGTGTCCAGCCTGGTGTTTATGAGGGCACCATCTGTGTTTAGATATTTAGCTTGGCCATGTGACTAGGCACTGTGGGAGAGGTTGTATTAGCTGTATTGGTTTTTTTTCAGTTACGAAGGATGAAATCTGAATTCATTCATCATTTTGAAGGATAAGATCAGTGACTGAAACACCTTGCTGTAGCTTTTAAGTAGTTCTCTCTTCCTCCCTCCTCCCTTTGCCCATCAGTGGATCAGCTGCTGCTGCAGGAGCAGAGCTTGATGTGGGATTTCAGCCCGCCGAATAATATTATTAAGGATCAGTAAATGTAATCTCGCATCTTTTAACATCTGATCACTCTACTGGAAGAAAACTTCCCTAACTTATAAACTTCTCTGATGTAGCGCTGCTCGTTCAGGGTCTAGAAGCAGAGTGCAAGCAGGTTCAGCCGTCAGAGCAAAATTACCATGGCAACAAGAAGTCGTGTGTCTGTGGCAAGCACACAACAAGTCGTGTATAGCAGGCTTCAGTGTTTCCCCTAGGATGGAGCAGCGGTGCTAAGGCACGCGGGCCCAGCTAAATGTGAGCGCGTGGAATTTTTTTGTGCGTGCGAAGTGCGCCCCGCCAATATGTTTCTATGTGTCTGCCAGCACAAGAAAGGCTCAACACTCAGATGAAAGGGAGATGTATACTTTTCAATAATCCAAACATCTTTAGAATATGATCACAACCAATAACAAATCATTTAAACTTGTTTATTCTTATCTTATGTTACCTAGTTAGCATTCTTTCTTTTTCTTTATGCATATTACTAATCACTCCCCTTTTAAACCTTCTTTTTACTGTCCTATAGTACGCATTGGAATGAGTTCTTACTTTATTTTTTACAACTATATTAAATAGTTAAAGGTGTGCTCTCTCTAGCTCTCTCGCTCTCTCTCTGTCTCGCTCGCTCACAGAGGCTGTGTGGCCACGGATTATTATTTTAATGTATTAAAAAAGAAAGAATTACATTTTTATTGTTTTGGTACCTGGCTGGCGCCCCGTAGCAGCGGCGCGGAAACACTGGGCTTATAGCAGGCTCAAGAAGCTTTTTAAAGGTGTTTGGGGAATTTGGGCTCATTCAGAGTTAGTGTGAAGAAGGGCTGAATGACAGCATATTTTTTTATTAAAATGATACATTTGTTTCCCTGGCACGAAAAAGTAACAATTTAAAGGGCCCATGTCATGGCCATTTCCACTGATCATAATTACATTGTTGAGGTATACTAAAATAGATTTATACTGTGCAATTTTCCAAACTCACATTGGTTTCGCATACAGCATCTCTGTCAAGCATGTGTATTCAGCAGTATTCACTTTCTCCACTAAACGACTCGTTGGAGCTCTTGCCCCCCCCTCCCTGTGAGCCTAGTGTGCTCCGATTGGTCAGCTCGGCCACTCGTTCTGATTAGTCAACCACCAGAGAGGCTGCGCCCATGTCAGTGCTTTTCCCGGCTGCTCTCAGCGTAACATCAGTCTTATCATGGCGTCGGTACAGCGGTATATTTTATATACATATATATTTTTAACTGTTGTTATAGAAGAGTGTGACGGCCCCAGGGCCTTTGTCTTACGATGGGGTGGAGCTGAAGAGGGTAATCAGCACGATCACGGACACCTCCGGACACAGTCTCTCTCCAAAGCGGCTGCAGGAAGACTAACTCTGCGATCCTCTCAACCACCTATCTCTGCATTTACCACAATAAATGTGCCGTGGTTTTGTAAACTCGTGTATGTCTCCTTGTCTTTCCGTTGTGGCCTACGAGCTACTCTCATAACAAAGAGTAAGTTATTTTTACCCGTTATAAACTACTACTGTTTGATGAGAAATCAAATCATGGTTTGCTATATATGAATTCAGGGAAGAAAGGATAGGCCTACTAAGTATTTCCATTAAACTTTATTTTTAGAAATGTACAAAATGAACATAAATATACATATATACACGGTATATCATCCATTCCTCCTCCTCGCATCTTGCCTGCGGCACAGTCGGTGCGGTGCCTTTTAGCACGAGGCCTCAGTGTGGTCGTCCCGTCCCCGTCATGGATTGTCCGCCAGGATCTGGCTGGACGAAATCAAATGCAAATCACAAAATATTAGAGAAACTTAGTTGTTTTAGATTCGTTAGTAGTAGTTGTGTAATGAACAGCTTGCCTGCTAATATGCTAACCTAGCTTTGTTTACCTTGGTAGCTAACACGATATGAACGTTAGCTTGGAGGAAAGGCAACTATAATGCAGTGTAATAAAACTACTATGAACAAAAGCTAGTGGTTCATATTAGGCTAGCAATAACGTGTTTATAATTGCAATCGTATACGGGTATTCTGCTACGTTCGGTCATACAATGTAACTTGCATGAATACATTGTTTTGCGCTAGCATACAGCTAGCCTCGTTAGCTACATGCAGTATATGTACGGTCACAATGTACGGTAAATCACAGTACAGTATACTGTACGAGTATTCCGTGTGTGTGACTGCAGACATTCTCCTGCCATGACAAACATGGCCATCTGCTGACATTGTAGTTGATATATTTAAACGCTAGCAACGTAGCATCACAAAAATGTTTTTCTGACCAAAACTAGCTCTAGCTCCGTGTGTTAGATCGCTACGCCAGCTATAATGTAATTACGTTTCGCGACTGACCGGCAAATCACCCGCAGTATACTGTCAATAGGTATTTTGTGTGTGAATGCAGACATTCTCCTGCTATGAGATACATGTATGCAAGGCCATCTGCTGATATTAGAGTTGATATATGGAAACTCTAGCAACTTAGTTAGCACAGTTAGCACTGTGTCAATGGCTTAGCAGTCCAACACAGTTTACACATTTAAACAGTCTTGTTTGATAAATACACAAATAACAATGCAAACTTACAGGTTGTATACCCAGATCTTCCCCTGCTCCAAACGGTCCAAACAAGCTGTGCATATCCGGCCTCAAACTGGGCAATGTTTTGGAAGCTTTCGTCTGTGAAATGCCGGTTCTTCGAACCTCTGGAGGAGGAACACGCCGCTGCTGGTGTGGCCATAGCTCTTCGGGATTGGTCCATTTCGTTCCGGGTACCGCATGACATCAGGCGGTACCCGGAACTAAATGGAAGACTCAAATGGGCAGTGACGTATCTCCAACGAGGCGTTTTGGGGAGGTATTTTCTGTGTTAGAGTTTTACTCGCTACAGGGTGTACTTTGAGGGTTTTGACTCTGCACACCGTTTACATGCATAAAAACCTTCATAACACACAAGGGGACGGGTAATAACCGGAAAAGCATGACATGGGAGCTTTAAGAAATAAACAGCAAATGGTATCCCTACCAAAAATAACTTACACCAGTTAAAGTCATTCTTTGTAACGTCTCAGTGCCACTTCAGTAGTATAGAATATCATATGTTCCTTATTGCTTGACTCAAGAAGTAAATTCAGATTGTGGATTGACTGACATACTATTTTCTCCTCTATTGTGTGTGTTTCAGTTTGAGGCAGCCTGGGCACTCACCAACATCGCCTCGGGGACCTTCCTGCACACTAAGGTGGTGATTGAAACAGGAGCGGTCCCCATCTTCATCGAGCTGCTCAACTCTGAGTACGAGGATGTCCAGGAACAGGTGAGAGCCCCCAAGGCAACAACAAACCCTGCCAGAGCCCCAAACCGTGTTCCTGTTAGGAGTTCTGAACTTGTTCCCTGATTGATCCAGCACATCCCACCTGGATAACTGAAGCATGGTTTGTGTTTCAGGCGGTGTGGGCCTTGGGGAACATAGCTGGAGATAACGCTGAGTGCAGAGACTACGTGCTGGACTGTGGCATCCTGCCATTTCTACAACAGTGAGTGTTCCTCCTCTGTCTGGATGTGTTGAAACATCACTTCATCGCAACTGACAACTGTGTTGTTGCCTTCAGGTTACTCGCAAAGTCCAACCGTCTTACAACGACTCGCAACGCAGTGTGGGCTCTGTCCAACCTCTGCCGGGGGAAGAACCCACCACCCGATTTTGCCAAAGTGAGTCTATGTTATAACTTATCTGGAACTTGCAACCGACATTCCTTATTTCTGCTTGCAGCATTAATCATTGAGTTATCTGTCCTGACTCTGCTGTGGTGTCTCTCCGTGTGGAGGTGTCTCCCTGTCTCAAGGTGCTGTCCCGGCTGCTGTTCAGCAGTGATCCAGATGTTCTGGCTGATGCCTGCTGGGCTCTGTCCTACCTGTCTGACGGACCCAATGAAAAGATCCAGACGGTCATCGACTCAGGGGTGTGCCGCAGATTGGTGGAGCTGCTCATGTAAGCAGGGTTGGGAGGGTTGCTTTAGAAATGTATTCTGTTAAAATGACTAGTTACCTGTAAATGTAACCAGTAACCTAATCTGAGTATCAGGCTTTTAATTGAGTGCATATGTAAGACAGCAGAACAATGTGACCTTAGAAAATGAGAAACTAAGATATTTAGTTAAAAATGTTTCCTCTGCTCAGAGATTTTTTTGATAGGAAAATCTCTATTGTAAGTAATTTAAAAGTAATCTGCTTTTTGTATGTAACTGTAAGGGAATACAGTTACCAGTTTTTTCAATTCTGATAACGTATTCCTGTTACATGTAATCCATCACTCCCGAAGCCTGCATGTAATATACATATGGATGCAATAAAGTACATAGAGCTCCACCTAGTGGCCAAAATGAGTAGTTATGCCAATGTGCATGTGGCTGTAGGACAGGGGTGCCCACACTTTTTCGGCTTGTGAGCTACTCTTAAAATGACCAGGTCAAAATGATATACCTGTATTAAAAAATGAACTGAATATACTTTATATATACAATATATGTTGGTGTACCTTGCATCACTGCATGAACCCTTATGTCACAACATATGATAGTATGATATACAAGAGGGTTTGCTATAACAACAGTAAAGTGCTTAAATGTTCTTTGTGTTTTGTACAGGCACAGTGACTATAAGGTGGTTTCTCCTGCTCTGCGTGCGGTCGGCAACATTGTAACAGGAGATGACATCCAGACACAGGTAGAGGCTCAATTACTACAGTCATTTATTTGCAAGTGATAAATGTAGCCCTCACAGTTCTGTATCTCTGTTTGGAACCCCAGGTTATCTTGAACTGCTCAGCTCTGCCGTGTCTCCTCCACCTGCTCAGCAGTCCCAAGGAGTCCATCAAGAAGGAGGCGTGCTGGACCGTGTCCAACATCACTGCAGGGAACCGGGCTCAGATCCAGGTAGAGCTGCTCCACCTGCCTGTCCTCTGAAGCAGGGCTGTTGTTCTGTGTCGCTGACAACTTTCCTTCTCTCTGTCAGAATGTGATTGATGCCAACATCTTCCCAGTGCTGATCGAGATCCTCCAGAAGGCCGAGTTCCGCACGAGGAAGGAGGCAGCGTGGGCCGTCACTAACGCCACCTCCGGGGGCACGCCGGCACAGATAACGTCCGTGTAGCACCATTTCTCTTCCAACTGCCACATATTCATTGCAATATAAAGCTTTTAACCTTACCAAAAGCAAACCCTGCCAGTTGAATTTTGATAATTTAAATACTTACTTTAATGAAAATGTCTCTTTGTGTGAATAGGTACCTGGTGTCCTTGAACACCATCAAACCCATGTGTGACCTGCTCACCGTGATGGACTCGAAGATCGTGCAGGTGTCTCTGAACGGTTTGGAGAACATCCTGCGGCTGGGGGAGCAGGAGGCCAAGCAGAGCGGCAGCGGCATCAACCCGTACTGCGCTCTCATCGAGGAGGCTTACGGTACAGCGCTGCAACACACACAATAAATCTCTCACACACACCTCCATTCACTTCTCTGATGTGACAGGAAGTTAGTTAGTTTGTCACTGGTTCCGTAACCACAAATACATTTGTGAGCCATCCATTCTCCACTGTTACATGCACTGTTATATTTAGGTTTATTATCTGAATATCCTTAATGAATTGGTGTGACTGACAGATTAACAGACAGCTGGTCGGGTCTCTATGTTGCATGCTTCGCTACAGCAGCCTTCTGATACTGCTTTTATTGAGTGGGTTTCTCCAACAACCATGGGCGAACTTTCCTGAAACACAAAAATGTTTTCTTTTGTGATCACATTTTTTAAATGTATTAAACAAATGGTACAATCAATAACATCAAATGCAATACAGTACAAAAAAAACTAAAGTGTGTGTGTGTGTGTGTGTGTGTGTGTGTGTGTGTGTGTGTGTGTGTGTGTGTGTGTGTGTGTGTGTGGTGTGTGTGTGTGTGTGTGTGTGTGTGTTGTGTGTGTGTGTGGTGTGTGTGGTGTGTGTGTGTGTGTGTGTGTGTGTGTGTGTGTGTGTGTGTGTGTGTGTGTGTGTGTGTGGTGTGTGTGTGTGTGTGTGTGTGTGGTGTGTGTGTGTGTGTGTGTGTGTGTGTGTGTGTGTGTGTGTGTGTGTGTGTGTGTGTGTGTGTGTGTGTGTGTGTGTGTGTGTGTGTGTGTGTGTGTGTGTGTGTGTGTGTGTGTGTGTGTGTGTGTGTGTGTGGCCCCCTGCAGGCCTGGACAAAATCGAGTTCCTGCAGAGCCACGAGAACCAGGAGATCTACCAGAAGGCCTTCGACCTAATCGAACACTACTTTGGAGTGGAGGAGGAGGACGCCAGCCTGGCCCCCCAGGTGGACCACACCCAGGGCCAGTTCCTGTTCCAGCAGCAGGAGGGACCCATGGAGGGGTTCCAGCTCTAACCTCTCATCCTGGGCTCTATACCTCGGAGACAGCAGCCTGATGGCCTCCAGACTCTCAAACAGACCTAACCCAGGTCGACTAGCTGCCCCAGGCCTTCACTCTGGCTATGAGTACAACGACAATGGAGGGGGATCTGTGAATATGGAGATCAAAAACCACAGCGTGTGTGAAAAACAACTCTCTTTTTTCCTTAAGGCTACAGACTTTCCTTTGACTTCCTGGGATATTATTTCTCATCATCCTCAATGATGTTCAGCATCCATATGTCATTTTAAATGAGAAACTACCTCTTCAGAAAGAAAGCAAGAAAGTAAGTCTTACTCAATGAACTTAAATGAAAGGAAATCACAGGCAGGGCTGAAGACTAGTAGATGTACGTCTGCTGAACGTCCTCGGAACATTTTCTCCTCTCCTTTCCACTTAAAAAGCACTTCAAGAGCGCAGAGAGACTTGTATTTATGTGTCTCCTGACAGCAGTGGAGGTCCTCCTTCCCATCAGCTCAGCTCTGAAGGCTACAGCTTCCTGGGTCATGTAGCCAAGTGGACCAAGTGAAATTAGTACAGTGTGTAGTCTTCACTCCTGTTTTCTTCGTCTATTTGAAATGTTCCTTAGTACAGAAAGCCATGTCCTGACCATGCAGGGGCTGTCTGTTACATGATGCAGTGTGTGATAGTGAAAGATTCCACACATCTGTTCCGTTTTCTAGTTACTCTGAACTAGCAACTAAATATAAAATATTGTTCTGCCATCAATGAGATTCTTGACTTGATGGTGATAGTGGACTGACTAGGAGGGTTTGTATATTATATATACTGTGAGAAAATAAGTATTTAGGTGGCTATAAGAGGGTACGATATGCATTTAAGTTTTCTGCCTGAAAATGTATTTGTGATATTTTCAGTCCAACTTTACGGTGGTCGACAGGTGCAAACGAGCTACAACGGAACGAAACACTTCCATTAAAGGTAGGGTAGGTAAGAATGGAGAAACCAGCTCGAGTGCGCTAGAATTTGAAAATACACAGCCGGAACAAATCTGCCACTTCCTTACAGAGCCCCTCCTCCAACATACACGAACGCGCACATGACCAATGAGGGCACGAGATAAGTTTGTGCACAGATGGAAGGCTGACAGGCAGGTAGGCCATCCAGTTATTTTAGCTGGGCCGGCTAAAATAATTGGTCGTGCTTTTTACAGTACTACGGCTTCCACAGATGACATTTTTTAATGGATTTTTTGTCAAAGCACTTAAGATATTCATTGCTATCGGGATGTTAAGAGCATTCCATGGAATATAACAAAAAGTGTATCTCGAGCCGGTTTCTCAAACTTACCTACCCTACCTTTAAGAAAAACGCGCTGCAGTTTCAAAACTATGCAAATGGAGAAACATTTGACAACACATGCACAGCATTAAGAAAACAATCACAAACTAGACAACGACTAAAAACAACTTGACAACATTTAGAAAACATTCACCAATTTGTTGACACAAGCGCTGCATAAATAATTGTCACACATAACTGTCACTGTCTCTGAAAACGTACCTCAAATGTACGTTTTATTGGCTTATTTTAACATTATGATCACATCATTCCTTCAGATATTAGCCTATTCATTTCAAATATACTGACCAACACTTACTATTGTGAAAAAGGCTAACTCCGCGATAGTTGACCAACTTTATAATCCCTGAACGTCAACAAGTGCTCCGGTCCCAGCTGTGTGCGTCACTTTTTAGTGTCCCCGTTTCCGTTGTGTTTTGAGCTTCTTGCAGCGTTTTCGTCTATGCAGTGTGTTTGTGTTTATATTTGAATCGTTTCTGAAGCGCGTTTTCCTAATGGAAATGTTGTTGGCCGTTGTATCTCGTTTGCACCTGTCTGCCACCATACGGAATATCTTCTCCGTTATGTGCCCTTTTCAGGATTCGCCCTTTACAGTTTATTTTAATTTCAGGAGGGTCGTTTCCTCTTAATCCTAAGGCTTTGGTTTTTTTATTTTCATGTGATTGATTTTTTGGTTTAGACTTATACAGTGTTTCCATCTGTAGACTCAGTGATTTGAGCGTTGGATATGAGCACACTGGCAGCACTCATTAGTGGATTACCTAACATTAAATGACTTAACTGTGAAATGAAACGGAAAATATTTGTAATGCAGAAATGACATCAAGCACATTTAATCGTGTATAGTTTTCTAATAATTCTGGTTTGTATGATTGTGTATATTTCTTTTGTAGTGTTTTTATTTTCTCCTGAAAGTGTGTGTCCTTGTACAGGAGATAAATACTATCTGCAGAACAGGCTGGGGTTTGAGACCTTGACAGCACACGGACATCAGAGAAGTGTTGTGGGGCCTCACAACGCCTGTGTTGGCCAATCAGTGGCCCCTGAACACATCATCCATGAAACAGACAGATTACTGACTTTGTGTCGGGGCCTGAACACAGCTGATCACAGGTCTGATCACTTGCTCTTCTTGTGTGGATGCATACTTATATTGTAAAACAAGAATGATTAAATTATTCTATTGATAAAAACCTTGTATTTTTAAATGTATTATAACAACCAAATGCATTTAGCATCTAACCAGAGTGCAAAACAAGTAGTAAAGTGCAGTGATCTGTGGTGGTCTAGCATAATATAACAGATATAATCAACTGAAGTATTTATACTATGAACACTACAAGGAGGTATAGACATAAGTAGCAGTATAGAAAGTGAATACACTATAGATCAGTTATAAATAAGACTATGATACAGAATACATATGAATTTCATTTTAACTAGTTAGCTATAGTTTTGTTTTTACATTTCAATTCATTTAGCTGATGTTTTTCACCCAGAGTGCAATAATCCATAAAACCCCAGATATATGTGCTTCAAATAAGCCTAACCACTGTAAGTGCTGGTGCATTAGCTTCAAATGGGCTCATCTCTTTACAGTAAGTGCTATTTTTTGTGTTGAATTAAATGTCCAAGGTACCAGGTGGGTTTTTTAGTTGTAGGATGGGACAAGAGCCTGGACCAGTGTTGCCCTCTGGGTCCGTTCTGGATGTTCCTCCTCATGTTATTAGAGTGTATCTACAGGAGCGGGTTGAAGCAGCGATGTTAGCAGTAACGGACAGCTGGTCGTCCAATGTCACACCCAGATTGATGCAGTCTGAGTCAGGGTGACAACACCTGGGTTTCAGACCGGGGAAAAGACAGAATCAGTTGTGTACATAAATTAGGTATCCTCAATCCAATACATTTCGTCAAAACCTCCAAATAAAGCTTGGGTTTATTGGATTCAGCGTATATAAATTATGGTAAAGGTTTGGTTACCGACTTTAACCAATAAGCCTCTCTCATTCAAGTTTTTCTGATATACCACCAAACTAAGAGGCTGGATTAGACAACCATGTAAACAACGCAACTATAAACACTTTTGTTGAATATGACTAATGTTAAAGCATGAAACTCACACCCACAGAGCATGGTGTTATAAGACGGGTAAACATCTACAGAGCCAGGGTTTCCTTTCTTTAGCTGGCTCGACAAAACCTGAAACCCTCCCCAGAGATAACGGATACCACAGCGGTTCTCAAGTGTCTCTGTTCAGCCAGACTTCCACCCTCAGGCTCTGATGAGACAAGGGGGAAGTTTGGTGTGTCATTTTACTCATTTAATGCACAAAAGGGAACGATCGCTGCCACCTACCCACTTATAAGAATATGAAAAATATGATGACACAAGGCAACTTGTAGCTGCAAATAAGAGAGAAATGCTGGATGAAGTGTACTAATCATGCACATATTTAAGAATTGCATCTAGGTCAGTGTCCTCTAATGAAGGGGATGTAAAACATCACTTTAGTCTTAGAAACTGGAATGCCCATCTAAATGTATGATGCCCCCCCCCCCTTCCTATGTTTTTATTTTGTGTTGAGTTCAGTGCTGGGGATTTCCAGTGTGGATGCAACTCGATGAATTATCATGAGACTGTTCAACCTGTCTAACCACAGTTATCTTCATCAACGATTCCATTGTTTTAAATAGGTGTGTAGTGTATGAGGCACTTAAATAAATGATGACCTGTTTTGTCTCCATCAAAATGACATGTAAGGGCAGCTCTAGACCATGATCACCCTGTCATTGGTATTTTTTTCTGTTAATGAAATTAAAATGATTGTATTATTATTTCTTATTGCTTTCGCTGAGAAAAAAATAGTCAGTTCCACTGTGTACCAGCGGCTGGAACTGCAGCAACGAAACCGCAACGAAACACGGCAGCACTGATCAAGGTTTTCTGTGACTGTCCAAGTCTGTTCACATTTGACTTTTGACTAATTCTAAAAGTGACTGTGTGCGGGAATAGACAGTCCTCTTTTTCTTTGTTAAAGGTATTGGTAGTTCTGTTATCAGACTTTGTCTAAAAAAGAGAGTCTTTGAGCATTAAGAGGGAGTACTCCTCCTCCGAAACTCAAACTCAATTCTACATCTGATTCTAGGAAATGATATTATTTACTACTATGTGTTTTACCATGTTTCATTACATGCCCAGCAGAACAGTCAAAATGTCCCCTAGGTACAATGCATAACAAACATTTGAGGCCTGGAATGTACGAGCTATTTAGTATTTTTGTAATTTAATGTGGGTTTTTTCTACGCCCCAACTCAAACGTTACTACTCCCGCCCCTGCTTATACACATGGTCTGTCAATTCACAAAGAGTTATTGATGTAAAGAAAAGAAGATGTGGGCACAACACTCACAGTGGATCATATTTCATCTTTCTTCTTTCCCTGCAACTGTACACCATGGAATAGCTTTTGATTAGCTTTTTATCTCGTGCTGCACTCACTTTGACTTTGGTGCCGTTCGCTTCACTAAATCCATTTCCTTTGCTTCCTTTTGACATCATGCTCCAGCAGTAATAAAGGAAACAAAGACCTCACCATAGCAACTGGCATTCATTAATGAACACTTTTAGTCTTCGTAATATTTTAATGTAAGAAACAGGTGAGCATTTCTTGATGACTGCATTTTTACCAAACTTTATAAAAAACTGTGGGTCAAAAAATGGGATGGCTTGAGTCTCAAAAATAAATTAAGTGCTTCTACTTAGAAAAGAATAGTGAAAAATGCTTGTTCTGAGAAAAATAGAAATATACACGTATATATATAACGTTTTAAAAGATGTAAGGTTTTTCTGTTCACCTGTTTGGTTTACAGCCAGCCTCAGACTCAATAGTCAGTGGCCAGAGATTTGTACTGAGTGTATTTTTTAACATGTGCTGTCCACAAACAGTGACGACTTTCATCACAGCCATGTTTTTATTCAAATACTTTATTTAAACAAATCACACAGATGCAAATAGAAAAGCTTGGAAACCTCTACCATAAGCATTTAACCTGTGCCGTACTGTTCTCATTGTTGAACATATCCCTGAGCATCAGTGACAATAGATTACACAATTCTGGAATGTCAGCTCACTTATATCCCGTTACAGCGTAAGCCTCGGAGCAGGCTGAGGTTTACATTCCTCGAGTTTCTGTTGTGCTCTTTTTCTGCCTGCAGTCATTGGAATCTGGTCTGGGGGGGGGGGGGCTTTTTGGTGCAACAAGTTGAGACCCTGTGTCATTTCAGATCTCCAGTTCCCACAAGACTGCTGTCCTTTCCTCATTCACACATCCACTAAAAGACCAAGGATATTCACCCACTCAAACTGTAAGCAAAACTGGAATGCCCCCAGGTTCTGATGCCCCCCCCCCTTTCCTTCCTATGTTTTTATTTTGTGTTGAGTTGATGAATTATCATGAGACTGTTCAACCTGTCTAACCACAGTTATCTTCATCAAACGTTTCCATTGTTTAAAATAGTTGTGTAGTGTATGAGGCACTTAAATAAATGATGGCCTGTCAGCTCATCACAGGCGTTCTCTTTAACCTATTACATTTCACCTCAATCTCCAGCAGCCAATCATCGTGCTGCAGTCAAACTTTAAAATCCTTCTCCTCTCTCCTGCAGTCAGCTGTGATTTCAGGTTTTCATGCTGCCGCCCGCCTCCTCCCCATCCACCTCCTCTCATCATGTCCAGTGCCCAGGAGAGCTGATCCAAAGACCTCATCA